ATCTCTTCTAGGTTATTGAATTTGCTAGCATATAGATGTTGATAATAGTCTCTACCTTGAATTCCTGTAGTGTCTGTTGTTGTAGTCTGTTGTAGTGTCTGTTGATTTCATTTTTTATTCTATTTATTTGAGATTTCTCTCTTATTTTCTTGGTGAGCCTTGATTTTGTTTATTTTTTCAACAATCATCTTTTGGTTTCATATATATTTTGGGATGTCTTTTAAATTTCTATTTACTTCTGCTTTGATTTTTATTATTATTTATTTTTTATTTATACAAGAACTGGAGTACAGGCCAGAGGTACGGGAGGGTGAGAGGATTTATTAGAGACAGAGTGGGGAGCAGAACAGGCAGACTGACTGAAAACACTGCTGAGGGTAGCAGCAAGTGAGGCAGTAGTGGTGTGCTGCTCCATTCCTGGCCGGCCAGGAATCGATCCCGCACTGCAGAGGCTGTGGATAGCTTCACAGTACTGCACTCAACCCGCTGTGCCACTGGGGAGGCCCTGATTTTTATTATTACAAAATGTTCTTTTACTGGTTTTTGGATTTGTCTCTTCTTTTACTATTTCCTCAGGTTGACAGAGGTTATTTATTTGAACTCTTTCTTCTTGATGTGTGGTCTCTATTGTTATGATGTATTTCCCCCTTAGTACTGCTCTTGTTGTGAACCATAGGTTTTGGATAGTTGTGTGTTCATTTTTGTTTATCTTGAGGTATTTTTAAATTTCTTCTTTGATTTCCTCATTAACTCCATGACCTTTCAATAGTGTGTTATTCAGTTTCTATGTATTAAAAGATTTCCCTGCTATCTTTTGATAGTTGATTTCTTGTTTGATACCTTTATGTTCTGGGAAGATGCTGGGTATGATTTCAATTTTTGTGAAATTATTGATATTTGTTTTGTGTCCAAGAATGTGATCTATTCTGGATAAGGTTCCATATGTGCTTGAGAAAAATGTGTATTTGGCTTTTGGTGATGTAATTCCCTGTATATATCTACAAGATCCAAGAGGTCTAATTGTCTATTTAAAGCTATTGTATCCCCGTTTATTTTTTGTCTAGTTGATATATCCATTTTCAAGAGTGGGGTATTGAAATATCCTACCACAAATGTGTCTTTCCAATATTTGATTTTCAGAGTTGATAGTAGTTTCCTAATGGTTTTTTAAAAAATATTTATTTATTTATGCATACTAGAACCAGAGATGCAGGGGTGTGTGTGTGAAAGTATTCACCAGAGACAGAGCGGGGAACAGAACAGGCAGACTGACTGAAATACACTGTTGAGGGGTGAGATGGGCAAGACAGGTCTGCTGTGCCATGCAGGTAGCTCTCTGGCCAGCCGTAGAGAGAATTCCTGCTGCAGAGGCTGTGGATAGCTTCACAGTGCTGTACTTAACCCCTTGTGCCACTAGGGAGGCCCCTGCCTGATGGTTTTGATGCCCCTTCATATGGTGTATATGCATTGATGAGTGTTATATCTTGTTGATGTATCATTACCTTTATCGTTATATAGTTTCCCTCCCTGTATCTTGTTACCTTTTTTAACTGGAAATCTATTTTGTCTGATATAAGTATGGCTGCCCCTGACTTCTTTATTTAGTGTCCCATTTGCTTATAGGATTGTTTTCTAACCCTTTTCTTTGAGCCTTTATTTCTTTAGAGTTTAGGTGAGTCACCTAGAGCTAGCATAAGGTTGGATTCTCTCCTTACCCAATTAGATGCTCTGTGTCTTTTAATTAGTGAATTATTTCTAATTGTATTTACAGTGATTATTGATAAGCGATAGTCTGTTGCTACCATTTTATTCTTAATTTTTGTGGATCGATCTATTTCCTTATTTACTTTTTTCTGTATGTTCCTCATTTAAGTTTCAACATGTAAGTTTTGATATTTCTTGGAGGGGTGGTTTAATGTTTGCAAACTCCTTCAGCTTCTCTATGTCTGAAAAGACCTTTATTCCTCCCTCATATCTGAAGGAGAGTCTTGTAGGATAGAGTATTCATCGCTGGTAGTTTTTCTCTTTTAATATATGAATATATGAACACACCATTCTATACTCTCCTTGCTTGCAGTGTTTCTTCAAGGAAGTCTGATGTTAGCCTGATCAGGGTATCTTAATATATTATCTGCTGCTTCTCCCTTGCCAGCTTCAATATTCCTTCTTTGTCCTGAATTTTTTTGAAAATTCACTATGTCCTGATGTCAATCTTGTTTCATGGTGATCTATAATCATTGATCTTTGGTGTTACTATTGTAAATTATTTTGGGCTGCTGCCGCAAACTACATCCATAAAAGATGATTGGCTGATGGCTCAGATGACGTTAGCATTTATAAACAATGAGGTACTTTAAATGAAGGTATATGCATTTTAAAAGACACAATGGGGCCTCCCCTGGTGGCCCAAGCGGTTGAGCATTGAGCAGCTGAGCATTGAGCGGTTGAGCGCAGAGCTGTGAAGCTGCCTGCAGCCTCTGCAGCACTGGTTCTATCTCGGCTGGCCAGCGAGTGTCTCACATGGCACGGCAGACCTTTCCTGTCTGCTCCCCTCAGCAATTCCCCCCTCTGTCTCTGGTGAATCCTCTCACCCTCCCGCGCATCTCGACTTAGATTTAAATAAATCTTTTAAAAAAATACACAATGCTGTATTAGATTTAATAGACCATGTAAGAGTGTAAGTATAACATTTATATGCACTGGGAAACCAAAAAATTTGTGTGATTTGCTTTATTGTGATACTCATTTTTTGGAGTGATCTAGAATTTAATCCACAATATCTGTGAGTTGTGTCTGCACCATACATGCTGTGATGCCTCCCCTAGAGCTCCCTTAAGGAGTGAAGACCTGGAGTGCTGCCAGCTTTTAGCTGTCAGCCATCTTGAGCAATTTCCTTGGTTAAAGAAATCCTCCTTGCTTCAGGTCATATCCCCTTCCTTGGCAAAGACTGCACCCCCCACTGTGGGGGAAAATATCTTTAAAATTTCTACTAATTTTGAGCAATATAAGGGATGTCCTATGACCTTTATTGATACTGGGCATCACAACCTACTTTTTCCCAAGTCTGCTTCCTTTCTTCTCTTCCATAGATATTACTCCCTAATGATCTTCCTGCATACCAAAATCCATCACAAGTCTGCTTCCCAGTGAACCCAAACTGAAGCATTTCATTTATAGGAAGTGGTAATAAACATGAGAAGTAACATGGCATAAGGTAAGAAATGAATAATTAGAAATGGACAGAGAGATTCGGCAGCTCCTTTACGGAATTTTACTTTCACAGCTAGGATGACCAAAATCAAGTTTTAAGGGCTCATCACCCTACTCCTTCTTTAGTATGGGAGATAATCAGTTAAAATATAAATTCCAGTCACATGTACAGAATTCTGTATCTTTGAAATTAACCTTTTAAAAAAAAATAAGCCGTAGGGCCTCCACTGGTGGCGCAACAGTTGAGCGCTGGGCTGCAAAACTGCCCACACCCTCTGCAGCGCCGGAGGGCCCCACATGGCCGCAGACCTCTCCTGCCCCGCCCGCAGCGCCCCTCAGCAGTGTATTTCGTCAGTCTGCCTGTTCTGTTCCCTGCTCTGTCTCTGGTGAATTCTCTCACCCTCCAGTGCTTCTGACTGTACCCAGTGCTTGTATAAATAAATAAATAAATCTTTAAAAAAATAAACAGTAGCCACAAACTTAACATTTTCTGACAGTGGATCAGAATATTTTCTTTTATCACCTCGTTAAGAACTCATGGCAATGAGTAACTGGCAGTTTTAAAGACCAAAAGAAACCTTTAAATTGGCTATCTTCTGTTGAGCTCTTAAATATGAACAACATGAAGCAATTTACACAGGCACCGTCTATACCTGATAAAACTCGGTTTTCTAAGTCACCTGCCCCACACTTGACTTCAATCCCTTGCTGAACTAGGTCTACTGCTTGGCAGAGACTGAAGCCTTCCTCATATAAAAGATTTAACAACAGGAATTAAGAGACTTTTGAAATTATTTCCCCTGGATATATAATTAAAAATGCCAAAAAACACCACCACCACAAAACCCATCAATAGGGGGAGGAAACTTAGAAAATGAATGATTAAGTAAGAATGAATGGAAGTTTTGGTCGAGGCTCGACGGTGGGGCGGTGGGGGGCAGCGCCAGCTCTGGTTACATCTAGACGCAACGCTTCGGTAGACAAGAAAACGGAGAAAACGCCTCAGGAAGCAGCAATTACGCAGCGCTGGCTGCTGGTAGGCACCGAGAATTGCCCCACGCCGTGAACGCAGGACGACTCCAAAGGAGCCTCCTCTCGTCTTTCAAAGCACTGACGGGAGAGAAAAACTCAACAGCGGCGACAACAAAAGGCAGAAAATTTACGATTGACCCCGGAAATATTTTATTTTGCGTAGATATCTGCAGAATCTCCTTTTGCGATTCGCTACTTGATCCGGAAGAAGAGAGCGCCACTCTCCCTCACGATTGGTCGGCGTCATCAAGGCGGGGCTTCAGCGAGCCAGTCACCTTGGCCGCCGGATGTGACGCTGCGGAAGTCGCTGGCTGAGCGCCGTTCGGCCGGCGGCTGCGGTGGGTGGGGTCGCTGATTCCTTCTTGCTGTCTTCCCCACAGGCCCCGCTGAGGGGGTGGCGCCACCGAGAGCCCCGCCCCCCGCGCCGAGCGCGGCGGCTCCGGCGTGGTGAGGTAAGCGCTGGGGGCGGGGCGGGGACTCGGGCCGATTCTTTGAGCGCTCGGAGCCGGGCGCTCGGCGTCACCCTCTCCGAGTCTTCCGGTTTCAGGGCGCGGAGCCGCCTCCCCCTCAGCCCGAGGTTACGCCCCATCGGGAGCCGCCGTCGCCGTCCTTTCAGCACCGCGCCCCTCAGAGCCGCCCCGGGCCGCGCCCGCCCAGCCTCCCCTCTGGTTCTTGCCCCTGCGGGGGGACCCCGGCCCCACACTGCCCACCCGGCTGGATGCGCCGGCCCCTTCCGCCCCCCTAAAATGTCTCATAACCTGCAGAGGGTCTTCCTGAACCCCGCAAAGGAAAAGTCGGGCGACTCCTCGCACTGGTAAGTACCGGTTTCGAACTCCCCTGGACCAGCCGGCCCCGCCGTCTCTCAGCAGGTGGCGGACGGGCCGGCGTCCGGGACGCGCCGCCGCGCGGAGGAGCTGACGCCGCGGGGGCGTCGCCCGGGCCCGCCGCACCCCGGGGGCGCCGGCGCGTCCCCCGCGAGACGTGGACCCCACCCCGGCGCCGGCGCTGCCAGCGCCCGCCGGACTCCGCGGGACTCCCGCGTCTCCCGTCCTTAGGCCTGCGGCGCGGAGCTCCACGGGCGAGGAAGAGCAATATGGCCGACGCTCCTGTGTGCCCCAGACCTTCTGGAAGATTCGCGCGCGCTCGCAGAAAGACACGCAGAGACGGGCGCGGAGCAGGAGCGCCGCCCGGGTGGCGCTGGACCTTCCGCGCGGAGACGGCCCTGGCTGGGGTTAGGGACGAGGACGGACGGCTGCCCTGTGGTGAGGGAGAGTGAGCACCTAGGGGCAACCTGTGTCCAGGACAAAGGTGTTGGAATTTTTTTTTTTTAATTTTAAATAATAGCTTTCTGTGAAGAAAAAGAAAAGTCAAATTAAGGGAAATGGTGTAAAACCCTGTGGAAGAGCAGAGCTGCAGGGGCCGCGAAGAGGGCGCCGTCGCTGACCAGTGTCCAGGCGGAGAAACGCTGTGAGGCGGGCAAGGCCCGCGTGTCTCAGAAAGGCACGCTTGTGTGTAAATTTAGGAAACGGTTTATCTGGAGCTTTAGAAACACCTGACACGCCCCAGTATGATGCCTAACGGGACCCGAACGGCTGGCGAGGGCGCCGTGTTCTCGGTTGTGCCCTCCACAGTGCAGCCCTGTCGTGAGGGTGAGGAAGGATTTTATTGGTTTTTGCAGAAAGTAAGTGGGAAGACGGGATCGTGGAAATTAAGGTGTAAAATACATGGAAGAACATTTACGTTTAAAGAAAACCAAGCTACTGCGGCCTCAATCTGGCTGTGCCACGTTTCTGTTGGTGAGACTCGGCGCCCCCTCCCAGCCTGGGCCCAGACGTGCTTCGGGACTCAGTCCCTGGCCCTGGCCTTGTAATTCTTAGTTCCCGAAAGTGTAACAGGGTGGTCCCCAGGAAAGGGGGAGGTTCCAGGTTCCCTCCCTACCCAAGGGGCATGGAACCTGGAACCTCCCCCTTTCCTGGGGACCACCCTGTTACAAAAGTAGAGACTGAGGGAGTGGATTTCCTTTAGTTACAAACAACTACAAAGCGTAATTGTAATAAAGACTTTTTTAAAAAGGCGAACCCGTTATTTTAAAGTAAATGCAGTAGTGAAGAACTGCCAAGAGCTGTGCCATTGCCAGTGGTAAAGCGCCAGCTTAATGCATGTATTTGTTGTTTTATTTTTGGTGCAAGTTGGGGGAGCAGAGCTAGTGCCCTGTATAGATGTGTAAAAGTGGGATTACTTTAAAATGACTGTTCATTTCTTCTGTCTTGTTTTAGTGTGTTGGTATTTAACGATGTTTGACTTAACTCTAACATGCAGAGTTTATTTCAGGATTGCGTTCTTTTTCAGTATCGGAAATAGGAATAAGAAATTTACATTTTAATTCATTGTGTACTCTAACTTTCATCCTTTTGACGACATATTTAAACATTACAAGGAATCATGTTTTGCTTACTCCAGATAAGTCATTTTGATTTCATTGACACATTGGTTTAGTGTTGTTTTCATCAACTTTGGAATGTGTTTTTCAAATTACTGAAGCTTTACATCACATATTTGAGATGGATGCCTCTCTGAACCAAATTGACACTTATTTTCATGACTGGTTACGTACTTGTTTCTGTTGTTTTGTAAGTGACATCGGCATGATGTCCCAACATAATTTTGTAAGTAACTATTAGTTTATTTGGAAGCTTAGTTTTCTTATTTTCTGATAATATTTTTGATGGTACTTAATCATTAATTTTCTTCATAAAATTAAAATAACTATACAGTTGTCTCATTTTCTGTAGATACTTGAATTTTTTTTTGAATTACTGCTATCCTTTTGTAGAAATTTCCAGTAATGTGATACAGAATGTTTATTGTTAAAAACTTAATTTTGAATTCATCAGGGGATGAAATGTAACCGAGTTTAATTATGTATTATGAAGGGACGATATGGAAGATATTTATGGTGATAGCTATTACCTTTATTTAGATTTGGGCTTTATTAGCAAAGAACAAAGTGGGAGTGAGAATGTCATAGTGAATTAAAGGTAAACTACAAAGTACGAAGACCTGGATTCATATCCTAGTTCACCACTTCATATCAGACATTTGGTTAAAAAACATTCACTAGTGCCTACTGTGTGATGGACTATGCTAAATGGAGAGACTGACTAAAGAACAGAATATGAGCAGTGTCCTTGAAAAACCTCATTGTCTACAGGGGTGATCGCCTAATACGTTTTTTAATAGCGTCATGTTCAAGATACTCTGCATCTTAGGGAATTGTAGGAAAGGTTTCTGGAGCTTTGGGGGAAAGTATCAGCTGGGTACTTTAAGGTGAATTCAGGGTGTACCTAGGCAGGGGGAATTGGGAAATAAATTTAAAGTGCTGGTATGATGTAACACTAGAAGTACGTATGGTATAATTCCATACTACTGGAAGGATACATGGCTCTTAAGGGTTTGATTTGCACTGCTAAAAGATTACAACTCATTCACTGGAGATCGTTCAGAGGATTTTAGGGAAAGGACTGTTAGATTGAGATGTGCAAAAATCTGATGACTGTGGCTTTTGGAGGAGTGGCGTCAGGCCTACGAGGGTTCTGTTTCAGTTCTCCTTGCAGTGATTCTTAGGACCTGAACTAGCTGAGATATAGAGTAAGGGTTGGATTCAAGAACTATAGAAGGGGGAAATGAGCAGACCTCGTAATAAATTGGCACAAAGAAAAGGGAATCAATTAAATTAATTGAGATGAGGAGCTCACCAAAAAAAACAATCGAGCTATTTGAATCTGAACTTTAAGAGTCAGACTTGAAAATAGAGACTTGTGAGTCATCAGTTTAGAGATATTATAATAAAAGCCTGTGCTAATGCATCCCATAATAATAGGAATTAGGATGACATGTGATTGGCAGTTGGCGTCTATCTGCTTTTAACTCTTAGTTCTCAAATAGGGAGCTAAAAATGAATGTCCTCTAAGAGGCTTGATTTGGTTAAAAAGATAGCGTTTCTCAGTTCAGCGTCCATTTAGTTTTGTGCAGTGCGTTATTACCTGTGTGTGTGTGTAATATGGAAAAAGCTAACTGAAATGTCTCATTAACCACTCCTTTTATGCAAATGAGGTTTTTGGACCCTGTAAAAATTGGGGTTGTGCTAAAGTAAATACCACAAAGTGGATAGACTTGCTGAAGAGAGCATGTAATTCTGAGTAAAGCAGATCATATTTCTAAACTGCCATTTTCTCTATGTAATCGCTGGGCTCTTTATTAGGATTAGCTTTACTGACAACTATTTATAATAACGTGTACGTGATATTATATGTTATATATTATTACATTATGTATTTATGTACATTATATGTGTAAGATGGAAAAATATTTTCTAGCAATTGAAAAAATATATTTTGTAAATATATCTTTCTGCACTTCTACAGTGTTCATTAGTCTGAAAATGTCATTCCATTTCTGATGTGAATGCTTCATATCAATGTTAGAACAGTCAAAAATGTAAGAAGTTTTTAAGTGTTTTACTATACCTTTTATTTACGTTCTCATAACTTTTTACTAAAATGCTCACATGTTCAAGACTTTACCTGATTCATTTATTTTTGGATACGAATTGCATATTTAAATGAAGCTCGTAACTAGCATATACTGGGAACTTACCATAATCCCAGGTAGTTATTTCATCTACTTCTCATAGCAAGTCTTATTGTCCACATTTTAAAAATGAAGAACTAGATATTCAAAGAGGTCAAGTAATCTCTAAAGTGTAAGTTCTCTTCTAGATACGGAAAAATGTATATTGATTAACGAATGACTTGCACCCTGATTTATCATGTCTTTCTTTAGCATTCTGTATTTTAGTTTTATTTTTAGAATTCAGTAGCATTCTGATGTTGGGAAATTATGGGTTTTTTTTCCTTATAGTATATAGGAGTCAGTTCAGCTAACATTACTGTCAGCAATGTGCCAGTCCTTTCAGGTCTAGATGGCATAGATATGACTAGATTAACTCACCCCTTAAGGATTGCATGGTCTTTGGGACATTATGTGAATCTCTGTTGATATGTTGACTTGGAAAAAGCTGTATTTTCCTTCAATTTTTGGAGGGGAAATGATGGAGAAGTGGGGGTGGGGGCAGGGAAATGATTAGATTTGAAAATGGCTTGTGTGATGAGTGTCTTTTGTGAAGCAGAAATAATAGAGGCCATATAATGAAGTAAGTAGGTGACTAAAGTATCAGCAGCCTGTGATTTGTTTAAATCCCATGACTATTAAAACACACTTGTCCCATATAAATATAAAATCATGGATTCTGCTCTGTGAAGCTCTAATCTGCTAGTCAGATGTTACGGACAAGTCAAGTAAATAGGTAAATGAGACTAGAGACATTTACTTGAAATGGGGACTTGAAAAAGCTGCATTATTTTCTGTAGAATTTTTTTGAGGGCTTAATGATCTTGGTATTGGAAGACCTGTTATAAAATAAATGATGTAGTCTCTGAATAAAAACTTTAACTCTCATTAAGGAAAATGATACCTTATTTATTTTTTAAAATTAGCAAATAGATGAAAGACAATGTAAAAGACTTTGTATACATCTAAGTTGGAAGAAATCAGTGTGGTTTGTCTGACTAGATTGAATTTGAACCTCAGCTATGTTTTATGTTGTTGAAGAAGAGAAAACCTGAAGACTATTCAGAGTAAATAAATACATGGAATATTCCAGAATAGCAAAAAGATCTCCTAGTAACATGGAAGATGTTATGTTGAAAAATTATAGGTGGTGGTATTATAGAAGTTAGATGGTACTAGTTTGTAGATGATTTTCATGTCAAGTTGAATTGACAATGATGAATTATTGAAATTTTGGACACAGAGTTAACAGGATGAAAGCAATGCTTTACTATGCCAGAGATACGTAATAATAGTGGCTGCATTCAGAAAAACTAGTTTAAATGTCAGAGTAAAATACTGGGATGAAATAATGAAATCTAGACACAAGGTGATGATGCACATGTGATCTAGGTGCTTGAAGTGGCAATGATGAAGGAAGAGAAGAGGAGTAAGCTATAAAAAGGAAAAAAAAAACTATAAACTTGGTGAATCATTGATTATATGTTTATTAAATGTTTGCTATTTGTAAGCATCATAAATGGTGGTGCGCATGAATCAGATGAGTAAGAGGGGCAATAAAAATAAATCAAAGTCACCTTAAAACCTGGGTCACTTTGAAAATAGTTTTGCCACATGATTGAATGGTAGACTAGAGTGCTCATTTTCAGTAGAGTAATTTTAACATTAAATAGTATTAAAAATGAAAATGTTTGGTAAGACATAACAATATGAAATTGAGGTCTGTTCTAGGGCGTAGGAATAAAGGGATATAGCTGTGATGATTATTGCAGAGGAGATAGTTGAAGTCATGAAAATTGGTACAGGAGTAAATGAAAGATAAACAGTCAAGAACTATTATGAGAATATGCTTTGTTGAATGCTTAAAATGCAGGAAATGAATAAGAAAGACAAAAGAAACAAATTGTACATGATGGGAATCATGCTAGGAAAACGTTCAAGATGGAGGGATAATTAGCACTGTCAATTTCAGTAGAGCACCTAGGGAAAGGGGATAGTGTAAAAACAAATTTAATAGGGCCTCCCTGGTGGCGCAGCGGTTGAACGCTGGGTTGCGAAGCTGCCCGCAGCCTCTGCGGTGCTGATTCAATCCCCAGCTGCTCCCCGGCCACCGGAGGAGGGTCCCGCATGGCGCGCAGACCTCTCCTGCCGCCCGCCGCTCCCCTCAGCAGTGTACTTCGTCAATCTGCCTGCTCTGCTCCCCCGCTCTGGCTCTGGTAAATTCTCTCACCCTCCCGCGCTTCTGGCTGTACCCAGTGCTTGTATAAATAAATAAATAAATCTTAAAAAAAAAAATTTAACAGTGAGGGCATATTTGGTAATCTTTGAAGAAGAGGTACAGCAGAATAGTGAGACATGAAATAGACTGCTTTGACACAACTTTTTTGGTATGTCTGTGAAGTTGGTAGATAGTATTAATTGTGGTTCATTAACACCATCTACCAACCTTCCATCACTGGACTGACAAGTAGATCAAAACCTTCTCTCTAATCCTACGTGATTGCAGCATCTATATAGATATCAGCTTTATCTCCTGGTCTTGCAGTGATCTTCTTCCCTATTTTATACATAGCCGTCCACTTCTGTAATGCTAGTTATCCGATGAAATTTCTGCTTCTACAAAGTTTATGATTTAGGCATCCTGCTTTCTAAACACCAGTTCCTGTATTTTCTAGCATACTCGTTTCAGTATTTCCATTCCGACTTCCCATCTGGTCCTCCAGTTCAATAATCCATTTGTTTTCTCTCTATACTGTAGCCTTTACGTACTTATTTCCTTCTCGTACATTGGAAATTTCATCAGTTTAATAATTTTTTATCAGTAACAAACTTTTTGTTCCTCTGATTTTCATTGTACCCTTTTTCTGAAGCTACCCCAAGAAAACTCCGATTTGCTTTCTCTTTGCCTATACCTGGTGAGCAAGGAAAAAATCTCAAAACAGCACAGATTGGTATCACTATACATTCATAATCATTATCTTCTTCACCATCAGCACTGCTTGAGGATTTTTTTTAAGATTTATTTTTATTTATACCAGAACTGGGGTACAGGCAAGTGGCGTGGGAGGGTGAGAGGATTCACCAGAGACAGAGCGGGGAGCAGAACAGGCAGACTGATTGAAATACACTGCTGAGGGGAGCAGCAGGCGGGGACATGAGAGGTCTGCTCACCATGCGGGACTCTCCCTGGCCAGCCGGGAATCGAACCCACGCTGCAGAGGCTGCAGACAGCTCCACAACGCTGCACTCAACCCACTGCGCCACTGGGGAGGCTCGGTTTCCTCCTCGTGATGGCTTATACAGCATTAGCGTGTGCGCTGGTTCTTTAAAAAAGAAAGCTCTCCTTTTGGCCTGTCTCCCACCAGCTGCCAGTCTAGCCCTTTAAGTCAAGCTTCATGAAAAAGATGTCTTTGCTTGGTCTCCTCCTCAACTTGTCTCGTGTTCATTCCTTAGCGACGTCTTCCAAGCCAGGCTGCTTTTCCTCCAGCCATTCCTAAGCCTCATGCCAGTAATTTCAGTGTACATTTTTAGTCTCCATCCTGCTTGCCTCTTAAACTTTCAGTCAAATTTTCCAGTTTCCTTAAGACTCTCTCTTTGGCTTCTGTGCATCAAAATCTCTTGGTTTATCTTTAGCACTCAAAGCATAACTGAAAGCCGCGGTGGTGTTTCCGCCATGCGCTGACTGAGTTGGCGGGGAGAGGATGTGCCGAAGAAAAGGCCAGTTACAAGTTAATGTGAATTTAAGCCAGAGTGATGTTGGCTTCACTATATTGGACTGGTAGCGATTTTAGGAGATAATATCAACAGAATTTTGTGATAGATGGACTGTAAAGGGCGAGGAAGCAGAAATTACTTGCTCTGATCAAGGCTTCTGTGATCAATGGAATGCCATTTATTAAAAAAAAAAAAACTAGAGAAGGAATTTGGGGGGTAGGTGGGCAGAGATTTTCTGGTCACATTGGTGCGTTTGAGATTCTGAATAGAAATGTGAAGTGGAAAGTTAGATATACAAGCCCAGATCTCAAAAGAACTAAGATATTGGGTTGTCGGAAAAGTCATGATGTATTTTTTTTCTGTTTTCAAGCAAAAATGCGTCATGTACCGACAACCCAGGATGTTTGAATGTTGATCTGTAACTGGGTAATTTAATTGACAAGAATCATCTAGGGAAAGAGTACAGAGGGGGAAGAGAAGAATTCAGACTACACTTTGATGAATTCCAGCATCTGAATGTAGATTCAGGTAGGATGAGTTAGTTAAGAAAGAAGACTGAGGAATCACTCCAGAGGTAGAAGAATGTCATATCTAGGAAAGCTTAAGAGAATAAAATAGGAAGAAGCATTTTCGTCTTCATCCAAAGGAGAAGGTGTGGGTCAGGTTGAAGAAATTAGGCCCAAGAAGGGTTAAGTATGGCCCAAACTCTGCAGGCCATAGTGAGCAATAGATCTCACTTCTGTCTGCAAAGGTCATGGCCCTAAATAGGGAATCTCTTCCCTGGGCATGCAGAGCCATCTTGAACATCCCTGTTGAGAGCCCCTTGGCCTCTCCTATCCACCTCTCATTTATCTCCCTTAATGAAAATTGCCTGTTTACATGTCCACGTACCCAGTAGTTTAAGTTCTTGTACGGGCTGTGGGTTGAACTAGTCTGAGTATGAGCAAACATTTTCTGTAAAGGGCATATACTAAATATTTTAGGCTTTGTGGGACAGGTGATCTCTTTTGCAGCCAGTCAAGCTATTCTTGTAGCATGAGAACACATATATACAACATATTAAAAATGAGTGTGACTGTGGCTAATAAAACTATGGATACTAAAATTTAATAACATTTTCATATATCACAAATACTAATGTGTTTTTACAAATAACTTAAAATAAAAACTGTTCTTAGCTTGTGGGCTACATAGAAATAGGAAGGGGGGACCAGATTTGGCCCACAGGCTATAGTTTACTGATCCTTTCCCGCTAACTGAGCTTTGTTCTGAACCATAACAAACTCAGTAAATTTTTGTTTAATGAATTCAGGTTGAGTAAGTTCTGATTCAATTTATTTGTGCTTTTGGGGATTGAGGAGGTGATGAAGGTGGGTTTTCGTCTTCAAGCCCTGAAAACAAGAATTCATACTTTTCATTATAACTTTTTAAAAAGGTTTAATTTATTAAAAGTATAACATTTTGAAGCATTACCAAGTGGCCAGAAAATCTGTAAAACTAAATATTTGTAAGGACAGAATTACATTGTCTTGGGTTGTCAGAAGGTAAACCTGAGTTTCTGTGATTCCTAGATTGCATAGAATTTTTAGCATTATTAATACCTGAGGCTTTAAAAAAAAAAAAAAACACCTATAGTTAGTAAAACATAGCTTTACATTGTTGATAATTATAATTATTATTTTTTTGTCCTTAAGTTGTTTGTTTGGTCTTAGCCATATAAAGCCATGCTGGTTCTATAGGACATGTATTCTGCATTCATGCATGTTAATAGATTTAGCATGAGACATCATCTATACACAAGCAAACAGATTAATATATGATAGCAATTTAACATGAAGGGAATTAACAGGTGTGATATACATTATTTATGAAGGAGAGGCCAGAGGTAGTCAGAGAATGTTTATCTTACAAAGTATTCTAGGTATAAATATCCTGAGGTGTCTGCATTGCAGAAGTCCACAAAGAATTAATTATAGGAACAGAGATTGGTATTTATTGGTGTTTCTTGAAATCAGGTACTCTGTACTAATAGCTGATAAGTTGGCTAGAGAAAAAGTTAAAAATAGTGACTTCCAGTGTATTCCATGACCACTGAAAATCATTCCGCTGAAGTGGCGATGCTTTTATATATCTTAGATTTACAGACAATTGGAATAAATGAGTTATTTTTGCCATTCCTGGGACTGTTTAGCACCAAATTTCAAATGTGCCGAAATAAATGAAAGGAGAAAATAGTTACTGATGTGTTACTCTGTCTGAAAAAACATGGCACACTAAGTTATCCCCAAGGCGACAGTAGAACTTGTGAGTCATTGTCAGTGGGACGAAAGAATGCAGAACAGATGGGGGAAACAAAATAAGCATAAGTGGAGGTGAAATGAGAAGCCTGGTAAGAACAAAGGAGAGGATAACAGGAAAAAATTCAAGGGAAAAAAGAAGAAAGGATGCTAATAGTTTAAGGAGCGCTTGTTCTGGTAGCCATGATTTTATATAGGTAGAGCCTTAGACAAGTCTGTTTTTAGTTTTAGGAATAAATGTTAATATCTCATACCCATTGCCTAATCATGTGAAAAGATCTCTAACCATATCTTCACTTAGCACATCTACTTCAAAATCTGTTTTGCAGTATTTCACTTTGAGGACTCAAAGTGAGAAATTATATACTTTTATTATATTTTATAAATTTTTATATTTTAACATAATATTTGAAAATATGTATTTAAATAAAATGTATATACCATGTAGTATGTTGGATTATTTACTCATAATGTTCTTTTAAGTGTTTCAGGCTGCATGTACCAAGTAGTTCAGACGATTGGCTCGGATGGAAAAAATCTTCTGCAATTACTTCCAATTCCTAATTCCTCTGGAAATCTTATACCAGTAGTTCAATCTTCAGTCATGTCTGATGCTTTGAAAGGGAATACAGGAAACTCAGTTCAAGTTACTTTTCAGACTCAGATTTCCAGCACTTCCACAACTGCATCAGTTCAATTGCCCATTTTTCAGCCACCCAGTTCTTCAAACTATTTTCTTACAAGAAAAGTAGATACAGCAGAAAAAGTTAGAGTTACCTCTGTGGGAACTGAAAATGTTACCTCATCAGTTTCTAAAGTTCAGAGTCATGGTGTGAAAATTGATGGACTCACCATGCAAACATTTGCTGTTTCTCCCACCTCAGCACAAAATGATTCATCTTTTTTTATAGTAAATACTCAGAGTCTTCCAGTGACTGTGAAGTCTCCAGTTTTGCCTTCTGGGCATCATTTACAGATTCCAGCCCATGCTGAAGTGAAATCTGTACCAGCGTCATCATTGCCTCCTTCAGTTCAGCAAAAGATACTTGCATCTCCAACCACAAGTACCTCAGGAACAGTTGAGGCCTCCCAAATACCAACCGTTATTTACGTATCTCCTGTAAATACAGTGAAAAATGTAGTTACCAAGAACTTTCAAAACATTTACCCAAAACCTGTTACAGAAATAGCAAAGCCAGTGATACTAAATACCACACAAATTCCAAAGAATGTTGCTAAAGAGACACAATTAAAAGGAAGTCAGCATTCTCAAACTGCTCCAGTGAAATGGATATTTCAAGAAAATCTACAGCCTTGCACTCCATCTATTGTTCCTGTTAAGTCTTCAAATAATGTGGCTTCAAAGATTTTAAAAACTTTTGTAGATAGGAAAAGTTTGGGAGATAACACAGTAAATATGCCACCTTTGAGTACCGTCGGTCCTAATGGGACACAGACCAAAAGTATACTTATTAAAGATAATGCTTTGGTTATGTTTAATGGGAAAGTCTATCTATTGGCTAAAAAGGGGACAGATGCTTTGCCATCACAAATTGACCAGCAGACCTCTGTTTCTCCTGATACTCTACCAAGAAAAGATACATCACAGATAGTGAGTTCAAGTCCAGTCACAGAAATATCCAGAAAGGTTGTAAATATTGTTTTGGCTAAAAGTAAATCTTCCCTGATGGAGACAAACTCACTTCCAGATACCCAGCTTGCTTCCATGGCCAATCTAAGGGAAGAGAAGAATAAAAAAGTGGAGACACCATCTCTTTCCACCCCAAACCCACATAACATGAACCAACCCATTAACTTCTTAAAGCAGAGTAAGACTTTATTAACAAAGCCAGTCTTTCCAGATGGATTTAGTACAGGACAGAATGCCCCCAGAAAAGAAAATATGCAGACCATAGAGAAAATAAGTTCCTCTGTTGATGCAACAACTGTTACTTCACAACAGTGTGTTTTCAGAGACCAAGAACCAAAGGTAATTTTCCCATGTTAGGGTGTTCTTTTGTATCTATCTATATAGAAAATTTTTCTTTCTTAATTCTCAAAGTTAGTTATCTGTGATACTTCTTTCTCCCCTCCTCTGCCATTCTCCACTCCATTACATACATACCATGTAGGCATGAATGCTTAATTGAGTCAAAGCTTTTATCTGAAGGAAATGTTTGAGGAGTATCATTGAGCCACTAGGCCAAGCAGTATCTTTCTCTTGAATCATTTGGCTTGCCGAGTCTTTAAAGCAAAATCCAGCAAACAAACCACAGAGTAACATGGTTTAGAAGAGTTGGAGTAGGATAATGCAAACTCAAAGCTTAGAAAGTATGTAGACATGCATATATACATCTATACATAATATATTTCGTAGCCACTTTTAATGTATGAAGGAATTGATACGCATGTAGAAGAATTGGGGTTTTTGCTTTGTGGTGGTAGGAAGATAATCTAGAATTTTTCTAGGTAGGTGCTAGATGGGGTAAGATAGGAAATAGTACCTTTCAGTCGGCAGTCGCTTGTGGAAATAGTATTAACATCTTTAAAATTTTTTTTTTAGTAGACAAATTTCCTTTTCCTTTTTTTAAGCCCTTATTTCTGACTCCTCATCTAGTTACCCAACATCTCCACATAGTTAACCTTTCTCTTCTACTTAAGATATGTATGTCTGTGCCCGCTAAATATTTGTACCTACCTTTTCCTTTTTTAAAAATCTACTTAGTAATGTGTTTCTCCCCTTCAGTACAGAAGTATTGAACTCCAGAAATGTAAGGAGGTAAATTTTGTTAAATATAAGGTTGATTAAAGGCATAAGACTTTTTCAGAAACCTACAATTTCCAAATGATGTCATAGATTATTTTTAACTTGTGATTAGTCTGTATTCTCATTTCAGTTGTTTGAGAATTGACTACTTGTTACCTTAGTGCAAAAAAGTAAAGTAAATGAGAAATTGTAGGGAATCATTTTATGTTTGTACTCAGTTAAATTCAGTATTTTAAGTATGGATGGTAAGACAAGTGTAATGCAAATCAACCATTTAGTACTTTAAAGCATGATAAGTACAATAAGGTAATCATTTAGTTGCTAGAGTGATAAAAATTGCTTAAATAATTGACAAAGTTGTTTGTGTGTTTTCCTAATTCCAGATCCAGAATGAGATGGCATCAACATTAGAAAAAGTTACTCAAGAAAGAAATGACAAGAAAAATTCTGAAGGGAGAAATGATAAGGCATTATGTTTGAAGAATGAGGCTGAATTAAAAAAGATATTTGGTCTCACTAAAGATGTGAGAGTGTGCCTTACTCGGATTCCTGTCAATTTGGGCTCTGGAGAAGGCTTGGAGTCCTTTAGCAAATTGATGAAGTGTGATGCTTACAAAGCGACAGAGTTTATTGTAAAGGAGGAAGAGAGAAAAAAGGTAATAGATTTTTAAAGTGTTATTTGTAGGTACTCCAAAGAAATACAGTATATTCATTTTCTTGTTTTTTTAAGTCCTGTGCACTGATATGAAGAATTGTTACCAATTTGCATATATATGTATTATACTAAACCAGTGTTGAAAAGAACTCTACATGCACAGGTGAAATTGCATCCACAGCTAATTAAAGATGTTTTAAATATTTTTATTTACCTACCATGTATTGATTCATCACAAAGTTGCATGAAAATGGCCACAACTTTTTAACTGGTTGTCCTACTTTGAAGAATCTCATATAAATAATCTGAAATAGAAGCATGTAGTTGTTCACTGTGAAATTATTCAATATAAACATCTTAAATCTACATCCTCAATAACAATGACAGGAAACATCCCTGTAGCTTTGCCTACTCTCATTATACTTGTAAATACATCATTTTTAATGTTGTTTAATATCCTGAACGTCAAATCAGTCAAAATTTCCTTATGAAAACCTCCCATATATGTCTATGGGAAAGAAAAGAAGAAGAAATTAAATCAATTCTTTTCTCAGGCTCATCAAAAGTGACTGCAATATTTGGATGGTAGGTCAGAGTGACTTCTAGTACTTGAACTGATCCAGGAAAATGAATTAAACTGTTTATTGTCAGTGAATAGCATTAGGACCTTACTATTCATTTTGTTGCTATACAGTGGCACTCAATATATCACTGTAGTTCTTAGTAAATTTTATTGAATTTAATTGCTAAGTATCTGTATCTGTAAACTTTGTTAAACTTGAGAGCACGCTGTACATATGTCCTTAATATTTTATTTTTCTTTTGAAATCTTAATATTGCCACAGAATTTTGATAAGAAAAGAAAAGCGAAAACCTCTAAGATGTTGGTGGATCACACAAAGCGGAAAAAAACTGAGAGTGCACAAGACACAGCAGTAAATGGAGGAACTAGCATCACCAGTCCCCAACTCGATAGCAGTGTTTTGCCAACTTCTGATGTGTCACACCATAACATTCTCACAAGCCACGGCAAAATCAGAGAAGAGAAGAGAACTGAGCTAGAACCCTGTACCCAAGAGGAGGAAGGTGCATTAAGTTCAAATGCAACTTTTGAACAAAGTCATTCCTTTAATAAAAACTATACTGAAGATTTATTCCCTATGACACCTCCAGAGTTAGAAGAAACCATTCGAGATGAAAAAATAAGAAGACTTAAGCAGGTGCTGAGAGAGAAAGAAGAAGCTCTTGAAGAAATGCGTAAGAAGATGCACCAAAAATAATGAAATGTAGCTGTGCTAGACGCCACTGAAATAGTTGTGTTTTTTTGTGTACTTTCATATTAAGTTAATTCTAGGTGCATTCTGAAAATGTTTTTGAATATGAAACTTGCTTTTTCATTGCTTAATTTTAACACTTTATTTAAGGAATACTAACAAGGTTGATTTGTGTATGACTTGAGAATAGTCTACATGGGGTATTGGAACCTCTGTCCAGATACATTTTTTTGGAAGGAAAAGTTTTCTATTTTTCTATTAGCCAGAATTCCCCAAGTTTGAATATTTGTGCAGAGTTTTTGTTACTGTTTGTATTTTTAGCTAAATTGCTCAGGTGTTATTCCAACAATAGACGATTACTGTGTACTGTAAAGGTACACAATCCAAGGGAGGATGTGAGCTCTAAACTTAACATTGCCAATAGGCTTGTCTATGTACTCACTTAGTCCCTTTACCCACAAAGGGATACTTTCTACTTACTATTGTAAATTTTCAAATTTCATGAAAGAAAATGTATTATAGCAACATTATTTAAATACTCAAACATTTCTCGAGAATGAGGGACACTTGTTTTATAACTTTTACAAAGTAGTTTCATATAACCCAAAACAGTTTTTAGAATTCAGACCATATTATGTATTGTTTGTTTAAAGTGATATGTTGTAGTTCTAAGACAAGTGCTGCTGCCTATTTTTTTTTTTAACGTACACATGTGACTTGGATTGTATGAACAGCAAATCTGAACAATGGCCATACTTAATATTTTTAAAAAATTGTATAGCTTTTTAAAAATAGAGGCAAGCATATGTTATGTGATTATCTTCGATTGGGAGAGTTTGGGAGCGGAGTGGAAACAGGGATTAAAGGGAAGGTGTAGGAGTTTATTTAAAAAAAAAAAGATTAACAAATCCCTGAAAGTAAGATTACAAAACTCAATGTCGGCAGCAAAATAAAAAACAGTAAATCAGAAAATACTGAAAAGGAGGAACAAAGCCTCAACTACATCCTCCTGCCTCTTTTTGTAGCAGCTTAATTGAGATTGTATATTATAAAACTTACCCTTTTAAAATGTGGTTTTTATTCACAAAATTGTTCAGCTATCAACCTGATCTAATTTTAGAAAATGTTCATTGTCCCCCCAAAACTCCTACCCATTAGCAGTCATTCTCCATACCCTCCTCACTCCAGCCCTAGGCAATCACTGATATACTTTCTGTCACTGTAGATTTGCCTGTTGTGGACACTGACGTGCATAGAATGAGGCATTCAATATGTTTTCTTTCGACTGATTTCTTTCATTTAATGTTTTATCTATGCTGTAGCATGTATTAAAACAATTGTTTTTTAAGTTGTTAAATAATAGTCCATTGTATGGATATACCACGCTTTGTTTATCCCCTCGTTTGTTTATGGACATTTGGATTGTTAAGGATGTCATGTTGCTATGATGTAGGATGTTATGTTGCTAATGTTGCTATGACTGTCTGGATACAAGTTATTGTGTGGACATAATGTTTTTCAGTTCTCTTGGTTATATGTTTAGGGGAGTGATTGCTGGATCCTAACTCTTTAACATTTGAGGAACTGAAGACTATTCCAGTCAGGTTTTGCTTCCTCGGCTACACTAGAATGAATATTGTCAACACCACAGTGACTTCCATGTTGCTAGATCAATTATTGGTCTTTTTTATCGGTGGGAACATGGTATTGTGAATCATTATTTCCTTTGAAAAATGTTTAAATATTATTAAAGAAGCATTATGCATCCATTGTAGAAAATTTTAAATACAGCAAGCTAAAATACTAAGGCTTCATATTCCTATCATCCAGAGTTCACCCTTGTTAGCACCTTGTGTATATCTTACCTTTCTCTGTGTCCCATATATACTTGCATATTTTTAACAAAACATTTTTAACAAAATGTGCTCATACTAACTGTTCTGAAACATACTTTTAAAATCATCAATCTTGAGTTTTCTTCTTCTGTTAAGTCAAATTTAGATATCCCTGCTTGACCTCAGAATATCTTTTACAGCTTGCCTTCCCAAGCCGTGTTAAATCTAGGACTACACATTTTATTGCATTTTGTAGAATTCTTTTTATTTAGCTTCGTTTTTTAAAATAACTTTGATTTATTAAAAGCCGGTCAGTTGTCCTGATTCTTTTGTCCTTGATATACTTTCATTTCATTGTTAGAACACATTTCTACCTCGTTCTCCTCCTTGCACATTTTTTCTCAACATTTATATACCTTCAATTTCAGTTCCCGGTTTGTTTCTCTGCTTATACTAATTTTCTTGCTGATACTCAATTTGATGACCTTAAAATACTATATATATTAACTTGTGGATTTTTATCTTTGTTCCCAGACACCTCTCTTGGATTTCACACTTGTGTAGCCAGCTGCCTATTTGATGTCACTATTAGTTTTCTAAATAAACATATCAGATCGTCCAAAACTGAAATCCTGTTCTTGTTCTGAAGTGGCTTCACCTACCATTTTCCTCATTTTAGCTGATGAGAGCTCCGTCCTTCTAATGTGCTCAAACCAAAAGAAACTTGTAATCATAATTGATTTCTTCTTTCAAACCCACACCTAATACAAATTTTGACTCAGCTTTCAAAATATCCCAGATCTGACCACTTTTCATATTAATCGGAATGGCTTGTTGGTAGCGTCGTAAGCAGTCTTGAGTCTTCCTTTGTGCCCCTGTATTCTGCCAGAGTGATGCTTTTAAACATGATTCAAAGCAAGTTCTTTAGTTACCTCCAATGACTCCTCACTTAACTTGAGTAAAATCCTCTGTACAGATAAGTAGAGGTGTTTTTGTCTCCCTAAATCCTACTAGGCCTAGTACATTTCTGTTTAGAGTGGCAAAAAAATTTTTCCTCAAAATTTAGGTTGAACCGAAATTTGAATTAAGCAAGGGCGTAGGAATGGAAGAACTTTCCGGGCAGAGGAAGCAGTTAAGTTCAAAGGTTACTGGGCAGGAGAGAGCATGGCATATGTGAAGAACTAAAAGACCATACAACAATGCAGAGCAAGAGCATAGTTGTTAACCCTGAAAGGATAGGTTTACTTGCTGAAGAGTATAATTTTGTTGGATGTCATTGCTTCAGATTTATTATTCAGGGACAGGATTTACCCACGTTCCAGCTCTCTGATCTCCATTCTCTTGTCAAAAAACTATTTGCATCATTCTATTTTTGGTAGCATTCATTCTATTTTTTATTTCCTCTACTGCAATTTCAGTCCTGCTACTGCTTGTTTGCTCTCCATTATTGGTATGTACTTGGTGGTCCTCTCCACTTTAGGTGGGATTGAACCCATTCTCAACTCTAAGGGCAGCGCCTCATTTGTCTAAAGCACAGGTTCCCAAACATCCTCAGTTCAGGGTACTTCAGGGTCTAGAAATTGATTCATGGCACTGCTAGGTGAGAAGGAATATTTATGAAGCAGCTAGGTCCGCATAACCTGATGAGTTTTATGTCTTGATTTAGTTTTCTGTTGCTGCATAGCACATTACCACAAACTTGGCGGCTTAAAACATCTGTAATCTTTCAGTTATGTAGGACAGAAGCCCAAGTGGGCTTGGCTGGATTCTCAAAATTGAAATCAAAGTCTTAGCTGGACTAGGTTCTTATCTGGATGCTGTGGGCAAGAGTCTGCTTTCAAGTTCATTCTGACTGACAAGAGTCCAATTCCTGTGGCTATAGGTTAGGTTTTCATTTTCTTTCAGATGTTGGGGGGGCAGGGCTCATACTCAGCCCCTGGCAATTGCTCTTTTGCCATTTCATACATTCCTTCAGACCTGTATGTTACATCAAATTCTTACACTTGACCTCTGCCACCGGTCATAGAAAAAACTTTTAAAAGGTTCATATGGAGGAAGTTTGTTCTTTGTGTGACTGTGAAGTTTATAACCTACTGGGACAGGTGGGGGTTTGGTGGAGCAGGCGTCCGCCTGAAATGAAGTGCAAACTGCAGCCTGCGTCCTGCCACAACCCAGGAGTAACATCAGTAACAGGTGAGAATGGCCTCTTTAACTCACTGGCCCATCACGCTTAAGTAGACAAGAACTATGAAAAGAAGGTGGCAAGTGAAGCAGATGCTAATCAAGACAGGAGTTCAGAGAACAAAGACTGGAGACTAAGGATATCACCATCACCCTTTGGGAAGAAGTATTGCTCCTGGGACTACTACTAAAAGATACAGAAGGTTACATGTCTTTCTGGAAAGATTGCATATCATTTGGTCTTTGAGGGGGGCATCTTGATAGAGCTGCTGATGCAGGTTTAATCTATCTGGACACCCTCAACAACCATATGTAAAAAGCTAATATCTGTTGAACAGGTGATATTTACTGGATGAAACTTAAACACATCAAAAACTACCCACAGAAACCATCCAAACATAGATTGAGCTTCTCACCAGTAAGATCCAGAACTCCTTCATAATCAGAATTTTCTCCTTGGCATGACCAGTATGACAGAAACAGTGACTGTTGAAAAAACTTGTAGACAGTGTACTGGAGCAGTGGGTAGATGACCCTCAGCCTTTGGAGAAACAAATGGACTCCATGTATGAACTTGTGCTAGCCCACTCCTCTGACATGCTAGAAAATGTTTTCTTCTTTCTGTCAGATGACAACTATGTGGCAATGGATTGTGCCAGGACCTAGTAGAACTGGATCCTGAGGTGGAAAGAACAAAGCACAGTGCCTCAGAGATGGTCTGAGCAGAGTAGCAGGCTTCATTCATTACATTCTAAAACCAGGAGGTGGGGTTCTCCCACTCTGCCCCCCCCCAATAATTAGTGATAGAAACACCATCACTAATTTTTGTGTGATGAAATATTTTCATCTGTTTTCCCCCTCTTGAATCAGACTTACAATATGGGAGAGCAACTTCTAGTCTTCTCAATAGACTTTGACTGTTATAAACACTATTTCTCCCTATTCTTCCACTCCAGACATAAATAAACTGGGTGAACTGATGAAATAAACCCTTTTCTCTTATTTTAAAGTAGGGTTCATGTGACTAAATTAGACCCACTTAGGTAATCTGACATATGACGTAATTGCAAGAGAGGTATATTCCAGGTCTTATCTACACTGAAAGAAAAAGGGTAAGGGTCATTGTGTGGGAGTTCTTGGAATTCTGCCTAAGACATGTTTTAACATCTTAGTAGTCACTGAAAGTAATATACAGAATTAAAGGGAAATATTTTTATTTCATTCTTTAAAAAACCTATTAGAATGACATGACTTGGGTACTGCATAATTTAGACTCGAACAACTTGAAATTAACTTAGGCACTGTTACCTTCAATTCTTATCCCACATTAATTGGAATGCAGTATTTGCTTTTTACCTCAGCAATTATAAAAAACTAGCTTCGCGAAGATGTGACATGTAGCAAGATCTAATGTTGAATCCATGGACTGTTTGATCTTGTAGTTTACTAGTTGTCCAACAGATACCGAGTATCACTCTCAAAATTTGAAAATATCTCACGCACCTTCAGAAGTTTCTTCTGTGTCTTGGGGAATGGCAATCCACAGTTTGGGGACTGCAGATCTAGACCATCTAATGTGCAATAATTCCTTTCCAGGTTGTTCTAACTCATGGCATTCAAGAATGATTCATAAATGTTTTTAACTTGAAGGACTTAGTAGTGCTCTTAAGATAAAGAAGACTGAAGAAGGAGCTAATTTACATAGGAATCATGAATTTAGCTTTAGACACTAAAGTAGGAATTTAAGAAAGAGATTAAATATGGTAGACTGGAGCTCAGGAACTGTTGGGATTAGGGATAGATAACTGAAGATTCAGTAAATACATATTTTTAGTCATATGTCTAGATAACATCACCTAGGGAGATAGTGTAAACAGAGAAGAAGCTAAATTTATTGTCTGCTCAGTCCATTTAAAGGTTGGAAAAATGGACAATCTTAAATAAATTTTGAGGTTTGGAAGAAGAGAATATTCAATGAGTTATATTTACAAACTCTTAAATAGTACCTGATACATAAATTCAACTAAAATGATCCTGATAATCATTTGCATTCACTTTCTATATCACTTCATTTTCATTTCAGAGTTTGGTCTTTAATTCATACTGATTTTTATGTGTATTGAGTGAATAAGGAATCCAATTTTCATTTCTTTCCATAGAAATTCATCCAGCCTTCTTATTGGGTTAATCATTGGCCCAGCATTCTTATTTAAAAAGTCCATCCTCTCTCAGCTGACAAGTAATACCAATTATGTGATATAGGAAGTGTCCATACATATGTGTGTATTTATTTTCTAGTCTCCCTCTTAGGTTCCATTGGCATATGTCTCAGTGACTACTGTGTCTTTTTTTTTTTTTTTTTTTTTTTTGTGGGACCCTCACCAGCAGCCGGGGAACGAACCGGCGCGCAGAGGCTGTGGGCAGCCTCTCAGCCCAGCGCTCAACCACTACGCCACCAGGGGAGGCCCTGACTACTGTGTCTTAATTACAATTGCTATAATATAAATCCTGGCAAGTATCCTTACTCTTCATCAAAAGTATGTTGGCATTTTTCATCCTTTGCACTTTTACATAAATTTTAGAGTTGTCTTGTTACATTCATTTTTTAATTCAGTTAATACTGATTTACACTACTGTTTACATTATAGAAGTATAGCGCCCTCCCCTTCCAGGGACTGGTGCCATAGTGTGCCCACCACCAAAGACCCCATAGTTCACCAGATAGACTCCTGTGAGTTTCCTCCCCTACTCCCTCGCCATCCTCCTCGGGATGCCCCCATTCCTCAGTCAGCTTTCAAGAGCTGGCTTTTTAGTTTGGCTTTGACGCTTTGTTTTTCCATATTCCACATATAAGTGACATGATCCTGTATTGTCTTTCTCCTTTGGACTGATTTTGCTTAGCATTATTCTTCCAGCTCTATCGTTTTGCTGAAAATCTTGTCTAATTTTATATATACATATATAAAATTATGTATATTTTACATAATTTGCTTAATTATATATATATAATATGTGTATTTTATATATATATTGCATCTTAAACCAGTCATCTGATTTTAAGCATTTAGGCTATTTCCATAACTTGGCTATTGTAAATAGTACTAAAATGAACATGGAAGTACAAGTTTCCTTTTAAGTTAGTGTTTTTATATTCTTTGGGTAGATACCTAGGAGCGGAATTGCTAGGTCATATGGCAGCTCCATTTGTAGTCTTGAGAAAACTTAATTCATATTGTTTTCCATAGGGGTTGGACTGGTTTACATTCCTACCAACAGTGTAGTAGGATCCTTTTTCTTTACATTCTCATCAGCATTTTTTGCTTCTGGTCTTTTAGATATGCACCATTTTTTATAGGTGTGAGATGGTATCTCACTGTGGTTTTGATTTGCATTTATCTGATGAGTAGTGATGATTTGCATTTATCTGATGAGTGAAAATGATGAACATTTTTTCATGTGTCTGTTGGTCATATGTGTCTTCTTTGGGGAAGTGCCTGTTTATTTCTTCTGCCCATTTTTTAATTGGGTTGTTTTCTTTTTGTAGAGGTGTATGAGTTCTTTGTAAATCTTTGATATCCGTCTCCTGTCAGATGTATAGTGTGAAAATATATTTTACCATTCAATGGGGCATCATTTTTGTTTTGGTTACAATTTCTTTTGCTGTATGTAATTTTTTTTTTATTTGAGGTAGTCCTTATTGCTCATATTTTCTTTTTGTTTTTCTTGATGTTGAAGACAATTCCACAAAGACATCTCTGAAGCCTATGAGGTAGAGGGTTTTACCTATGATTTCTTCTATGTATTTTATGGTTTCAGGTCTTACCTCAAAATCTTTTATCCATTCTGAATTGATTTTAGTGTGTGGTGTGAAATAGGAGTCAAATTTCATTCCTTTGCATGTGACTATATGATTTTCTCAACTTCATTTATAGAAGAGACTATATAAATTTGTTAGAGTCCTTTATTTACTTCTTTGTTGTAAATTTATTAACCACATGGGCATGGATTTATATCTGGACTCTGTTCTGTTCAATGCCATACTGTTTGGATTAGCACTTTTTTGGAATGTAGGTCAAAATCAAGAAACATAATGTCGCCAGCTTTGTTGGCCTCAAGATCACTTTGGCTATTTGAGGTCTGTTGTGATTCCATACAAAATTTGAATTGTTTTTCCTATTTCTGAGAGAATAATGCTTTTTTGAATAGGGATTGCATTTAATCTATAGGTTTCTTTAGGTAACATGGACATTTTAAAAATATTAATTTTTCTAATATTTGAGTATGTAATATCTTTCTGTTTTCTTGGGTCTTCAATGTTACATAGTTTTCCATGTATAAGTCTTACAGTTCCTTGGCTAAATTTATTTCTATGCATTTTATTCTCTGTGATATTATTGTAAATGAGATTGTTTTCTTAACATTGATATCCTGATAGTTTATTGTTGGTGTATAGAAACACAATTCATTTGGTACATTGATTTTGTATCCTGCAACTCTACTGAATTCTTTTTTTTTTTTGGTGTAATGTTTAGGGTTTTCTAAAGATACCCTTTCTTTATAACATCATGTCATTTGCAAATGCAGATAATTTTATACCTTTTCTTAGATTCATTTTCTTTTTTTTTCTTGCCTAATTACTCTGTTTAGGACTTACAGGACTATGCTGAATAAAAGTGATGAATGTTCATTCTTTTCTTGTGCCTGATATTAGAGGAAAAATTTCCAGCATTTCACTGTTGAGTGTGATGTTAGCTGTTGGTTTATAACAAATGACTTCTATTATGGTGAGATACATTTCCTCTATTCTCAGTTTGTTCAGAGTTTCTATATGTGAGTCTTTATCTTACGAATTTCCCTCTTAGATCTGTCTTTGCTACATCCCATAAGTTTTGTTAGGTGTGTTTCTATGTGTTACTCTATAAATTTCCTGGAACTGCTATAACAAATTACCACAAATTTTGATGACTTCAAACAAGAACAGTTTATTCTCTCACAATTCTGAAGGCTAGATGTCCAAAAATCAAAGTGGTGTCTTTAAGGTTGATTCTTTCTGAATGTTCTGAGGAATAATTATTCCATATCGCTTTTCTACCTTCTGGTGATTGCCATCAATTCTTGGTGTTCTTTAGCATTTAGACACATCATTTCAATCTCTGCCTCTGTCTTCACATGGCTTTTCCCCGTGGGTCTTCTGTGTCTGTGTTTCAAATGTTCCTTTTTTTCTTATAGGGACCCCCAGACACTGAATTAAGGTCCCAATCTAATCTGAGATGATCTTATCTCAAGATCATTAACTTAATCACATCCACAAAGACAGACTCTATTTTAAATAAGATCATATTCATAGATACTAGGATTAGGATTTATACAGATCTTTTGGGGGACAAAAATCAACCCTACAGCTACATTCTGATTATGCCCACATATGAATCTTCTTGTTTATTAAGCTCTTTAGTTGTATTAAATCTGCATTAGATCTGTATTAATCATGTTTAACTCTCATTACTAGACTTCTTTCCAGCTAATCATTGCTCTTAACAAAATAAATTAAAGCTTTTTAATCTTGTATTTTAGTGGTTTATAGCATGAATTTTAGTCTGTAACACTGCCCCCCATCTTGTCAAAAACAGAACTGCTCTTCATTTTTAAAACAATTTGCATTGTTAACAATTTGCATTGTTAACATTATTTGTAAAAATTATATGAAGTACCTTATTCAGCTATTTTTTTAAATCATATGCTCTCACAGGCTTTAAAATCTTAACTTTAACTGTGGTTATCACCCTACTTTTATTTATGATTAATTTGTACCTTTTTCTCATTTTATAACTTGATAAGTTAAAAAAGTATAAAATATTACTACTTCTAAGGAATATAACATGGCAAGACTGATGTGATGGTACTTCTGAGTTAAGTTGTAAAAGAAATATGACTTATTTTGGGTGTTATATCTCATGCTTTCTCTTGGATGTCTTGCTCTGGGATAAACAAGTTACCATGTCATAAAGCAGCCCCATGGGAAAGCACATGTGGCAAAGACCTGAGGTTTATTAAAAGCCACATGAGAGAACTTGGAAGCTGATTTTCTGAGTCCTAACAACTACCACGTGACAATTGAAAGTAGGTCCTTTTCTTTTTTTTTTTAAATACACCTTTTTTTAAAAAAAAAAGATTTGTTTATTTATGCATACAAGAACTGGGGTACAGGCCAGATGTGCGGGAGGGTGAGAGGATTCACCAGAGACAGAGTGGGGAACAGAACAGGCAGACTGACTGAAATACACTGCTGAGGGGAGCAGTGGACGAGACAGGAGAGGTCTGCCACGCCATGTGGTTATCTCCCTGGCCGGCCAGGATCGAACCTGTGCTGTAGAGGCTGCGGACAGCTTCACAGCTCTGCGCTCAACTGCCTGTGCCACCAGGGGAGGCCCCTAGGTCCATTTTCAGTCAAACTTTGAGATAACTGCAACCCTGGATGACATCTCAATTGTCATCATGTGGAAGACTGTGACCAGAATCTGTCAAGCAACAATCAGATTCATGAATAACCAGATTCATATACTCACAAGATATCTTCATTCAAGATAAAAATATATTTATTGAAGTTAAAATAGAATATTAACAAAACCTTATCTTACATTCAGAATTGTCCTGAATGTAATTATCACTTAAAACATCAGAGTTATGGTTCCATTGAGTTGCTCCACATCTGTGTAAAACATAAGCTAAGAGTGTGATTGAAGTCAAGGTATGGACTACTGGACAGTTTCTTCTGGAATAACTTAAAATGAATCAATAAGGCCTTTATTTATTTTAATATTTATTTATTTATTTATACAAGAACCGGGGTACAGGATGGATTCGCGGGAGGGTGAGAGGATTCACTAGAGACAGAGAAGGGAACAGAACAGGTAGGCTGACGAAATACACTGCTGACAGGAGCAGTGGCAAGACAGGAGAGGTCTGCCATGCCAAGAGGGATCCTCGCCAGCGGGGATCGATCGGGCGCTGCAGAGGCTGCGGACAGCTTCACAGCACTGCGCTCAACTGTCTGCGCCACCAGGGGAGCCCCAATAAGGCTTTTAATAAGGAAACTGAAATGAAATCTCACCCTTTGGAGAAAGAGACTGTCATTCCTGGATCTAAGACCTCTAGTCAAAAGGAAATACACTAGGGTTATAAAAATGATTCAGTGAATCTGGCCCCAGAGCTCAGTTTTTCTCTTGCTTGATTTGGAGAGTGAACTGGGCATGACTTAAAGGCTAGAGATGTGTTTGACAATGGGACAATGCATACATTAAAGTCCCTGACTAACCCTTTGATCTTGAGCCATTCTTCACACAAGTTCTCTTAGTCTCTCATGTCTGAAAAATGCATGGGTATTAGTGTCACCAAATTGGGGGATATGGCTGCTTCTATGAGTTAATGAAAATGATCTTGTTGCTTGAGAGAAGTTGCTGACTAATGCCTTCTTTGCTGGTTGTATGAAAGAGGAATTAAAACATGGAAGAAATGGAAGGGGACAAAGACTCCATGCCAGGTAGTAATCATTTCAGGTTTTGGATTTCCAGAGATGAAACAAGTCTCTCTAGCATAAGGCAACAGAAGATCACAGTCCCAGGGCCTGGCTGGTTTTATCAATCTGGCAGTTCAGGGTCAGTGCAAAGGACATCCCCAATACCTGAGAAAAGATTTGGGAAAATGTGAGGTCTTCATAGGAGGAAGCCACCTGTCTCACAAGTTCTGTGATCAACACCAGGGGAAGAGAAAGTGTCTATCACACTGAGACCAACCTTCCTACCATTACTTCGAATTCCTTATAAGAAATCCTTTTTTTATCTTTAGAATGGCAATGGGAATGTGAGTGGGGACGATGATGGAAAGAAAACAGAGTATAAAGTATTGGGACATATTTTGACTACCTAAGTATAAAAGTCCTGCTCTTGGTATATTTGTATGAATCATTTTTATCCACACTCTAGGTCTCATTGGTTTTTAGGCAGAGGAAAATTGTTTCTCTTTGAGCATCTTGATTATGTCTTAACTAATCTGTGATATACTCAAAGCACTTGGGTATAGATGGGATAGGAATATAATGTAATAAGAAAGAACACAAAACTTAACATCCCTAACTCCTTAGACTAAACAAATATAAAAATATAAGATTATATTTTCATCACACACTCTTTATTGACATAAAAGGCCAATTTTTCAAATGGGATGTTTTATTCATCATAAATTTTCCCAGATCAGTGAGGGACCAAGCATTCTACTTGGTGGCTTTAAATTAATAGTGAAACACTAATCTCTTCAGGATAGTTTGCTGAGATCTTACAGCATATTTTATGTACACTTTGAGTTAAATGCATGCTTTAAATTACAGACCTAAATAAAATCATTTGATGCTTGAGGAAAAGAGCTCATACATATTGAGCACATACTATGTACTTGGTATTGTTCTAAAACCATGCATAACTCGCTTAATCCTCACAATAGTCCTCTGGTTAAACTCTTACCTGGATCACACATACACAGATAGTGATGATTCCAATATATAGGAAATTGGAATGAAACCACTCTTCTGCTTTCACATAGCAACCCTAGAAAAAAATTACAAACAAAAATAACATTGATATACTTTTCAATTTAATTAGGAAACTTATTGAAAACATATTTTGTATTGTTTGGTTTTTGCCTATTGCTTGGAGACATAGACCTGGATTCATTTTTATTTTTTATATGGATGAAGAAGCAGGTTTAAGGTAGAGAACATTCAACTAGAGACTTATATGATATTGTTATCATATAGTGTTACTTAGTATAAAAGTCCTGTATTCATACACACATAGTCAAACTAGTTCCCAAGAGGGATGTCAATAATAGATGTCCTTATATTCTTTGAACACTCATTGCTGACCTGGGGTTAGCAAGCAGGAATGTAGTATATGCTAGGATTTGCATTTCAGACGAGATCGGGTGCATTCAGGGTGGTATGGCCGTAGACAGGATTTGCATTTCAGATTCAACAACCAGTGCCCACCAGGTCTCTATCTAGCTCAAGGGAATTGTTGAGTTGGGTGCCCCAATTTTTCTTTAAAGACCTAAAAAATTCTGGAGTTTTCAAGAAAACTCAAGGGCAGGTTACATGGGATAAGGAAAGGATCTTTGAGACTTGCTCTCATTAGATGATCTTGCCTTATTCTCTGGGTTTAGTATAGATGTTCAAATTAGTGGGTAGTTGTTGCAGTAGTTATATCAACTCTCCCCAGCTCCTCATTGCTTCACTTATGAGTCATTTCATTAAGAGATTAGATTTGCCCATCTACAAGGAAGAGGGGGGAAAAAAAACCAGAAAGAGCAGCTTTCCTAACTCAATCTTACAAATTTCACTCTTAATCATAAGGAGATCTACTTCTTGTTCAAGAAAGAGCTGCCAGGATCGAACCTGTGCTGTAGAGACATAATCCTCCACCACTGTCACATAAACTTTCCCCTGCTAATGTAATAGTTTAGATTCAACAACCAGTGTTGATAAACAGTCTTGCAACACAAGATAATCAATGACATCTATAGTCTAAATGAACTTGTTCTTATTTTTTTTTCCTAATCTGTTTACTTACCCAAGTTGTCTCCTTGGTCTCTCTTTTGTTCAAGGTTTCCTTTTTTCTGGTTGGGGAGACTGGGTCTTGTATGATTATGGTTTCTAGGTAATTAAAAGTCTAACTAGAGAGGCCAGTGACAGAAAAGTTATAAACAAAGTTACCTTAACTTGTGGATCTGTGGGACAAGATGGCGGTGGTTTTTCACCCCAATCGCTGGTGCCATTTACACCACAACATTGCAACTAAAAGCCAAACACCAAAAAAAATGTGGTTAGAAAGTCATCGAAAAAACTATGGATAGGAAGAAGAAGGTGGACCTTTTAGATCTGATTCTAGAGCAGAAAATCCAGAATGAGCCCCTTATAACAAAAAACTGTCAAATCTTTTATCCTATTTTATTCACATAAGACTCCTTAGAGTTGACAGGAAATGTTTGATTTATTCACATTGTACAGATCAACAATTAGGTACCCACAGGATTTTATAATGGAAGAATCAGGTTAAAAACGCTTAGACTCACTAACCATTCTTAGACCCACTAACCATTCTTAAGATACCATAAAGTAGAACAATCAGATTTTGTGTGTCTATATAATACAATAGGAAATATCAACTATCTTAGTATCATCCCAAGATAGAATCTGCATCTGGTCTCTATTTTTGGGGGGACTTATGGAAGAGACAGTAACCTTGATACTAAAATAACTTGGGAAAACAAATAGCTGTATCTAGAAATTGGGAAATTTTATAGGACAAATGACAATTTATTTCCATAATAAGTAGCATGAACAAAGAGAGGTACTATTGTAGATTCAAAGAGATGCCATGCACATATAAAATGTGGACTTTGTTTGGATCTATATCTGGAAAACCAATAAAAACAAATTTTGTGAGTTAAGTAGGGAAATTTTATCATAGATAATTTACTAGTAATAGTAAGAAATTATTGTAAAATAAGAATATTAAAAATAAGCTATTTTACATGGAGATTAAAAACATGTCAGCCAAAGAAGAAATCACAAGAGATTTTAAAATTTTTTGAAGTAGATAAAAACTAATGTACATCTCATTAAAATTGTGGGGTGCAGCAAAAATAATGCTTAGAGAGAAATTTATAGCATTGAGTGCAAATATTAGGAAAGAAGAAAGATCTAAAATCAATAACCTAAGTGTCTACCTTAGGAAACCAGAAAAAGCAAGAGCAAATTAAATCCAAAGTAAAGATAAGGAAGAAAAAAAGAACTAGAGCATAAATCAAAGAAAATTAAAAATAGGAAATTGATAGAGAAAATCAACTAAACCAAAAGTTGTTTCATCGAGAAGATCAGTAAAAGTCAACAAATCTCTAGCCAATCTAATTAAGAAAAAAGAGACTACACATTACTAATATCAGAAATGAAAGCAGAGATATCACTACAGATCTCATGAAAATTAAAAGGTTAATTAAAATACTATGAACAACTGTATTCCCACATTTTTGATGTCCTAGATGAAATGGAGCAATTTCTTGAAAGATACCATATGCCAAAACTCACACAAGAAGAAACAAATGATTTGAAGATACTTATATCCACTAAAGAACAACCAACAATAAATAACCTTCCAAAATAGAAGACACCAGGCCCAGATGGGTTCACTGAGCATTTAAGCAAGAAATTATATCCATTCTCTACAGTCTCTTTCAGAGAATAGAAGCAAAGGTAATATTTCTTAACTCATTCTATAAAGCCAGAATTATTTTAATATCCAACCCAGCCAAAGAGATTACAAGAAAATTACAGATCCGTTCTCCCATGAATGTAAATACGAAAATCCTCAGCTGAACATTAACAAATTGAATCCCAATAAGTATATACGGCATTATAATTCATGACCAAGTGGGAATTATCCCAAGCATGTGAGACTGGTTAAACATTTGAAAATCAATTAATGTAATCTATCAACAAATTTTAAGAAGAAAGATAATATGCTCAATATATGCAGAGAAAATATTTGACAAAATCCAATGCCCAGTATGGTATGTTTGGGTCGTCTTCAAATTTTAGCAGGTCTTACATAATGAACCTATCTGGATTTGTGAAGAAAGAGAGTAGAAAACTTTATACTCACCCAACTGATTCTTGTGCTGTGACAGTCAAAAAATCATTCTAGACCTCAGGACTATGGATCCATATCAGATTCAGAAGCTTACAGGAAAGAAACTCCCTCTTCACCCCCAGGGATTAAGGGTGGGAATGAAGGCTGGGCTGAGTTGAGGAGCATTCCACCTGTACTTACAAATGTCTGGATGGAGTCCCACGCTGCCTTGGTGCTGTTGTCCTTTTTGTAACGCTGGAAACTGTCATTCAGACCTTTATTCACGTAATTATTCAGCTAGGCAGGGCACATTCCAGCAGAGGAGACATGGTAAAAAGCAGGTGAGTGTAAGAAATAAGAAATGTCTAGTATAGGCTACTGCTAGTGGTCTCACGTGTGCTTCTCTTCCAAATGGTTTCCTTAGAACTAAAGAGAGGAAGGAAGGGAGTTTATATATAGGAAGAAGCACTGAGGGTGAAGGCACTAAAGGAAATATAGAGTAGATTCATGCCTTCCAGAACCCTGGGTTTACAAAGGAGGAAAGGGAAAATTAAATCATGGGCTCTTCTTGGGCGCTGACACAGACTTTATCTACTATACCTCTTTCACCCTTTAAGGCACCACTCAAATACAATTTCTTTCATGAAATGTTTTTCTCTCCTCAGTTACAATGAATTGATGTCTTTATCCCACCCTTCCACTTTGCTTCTGCCTCTGCTATGGGACTTATTTTGTGTCAACATCTTCTCTGCCCCACACTCCCCATTCTCAGCAATACAACAATGCAGTTTGTGCTTTATAGCTTACCTTCTGTTCATACAGAAAGAGCAGGACGGCTAATGTCACTTCAGCAAGGAGAATAATCAGCAGCAGGGCGAAGAACTGGGACAAAGTAGAGACATGCTTACAGCACTGATCCCACCCCACCCTGGGGCACTTATGTATTCTCCCCACAGGTACTAAGCTTCCTACTCCTGCCTGCTCAGGTCTCTAGAAGCCTCCTCTTGTTTTAGGAGACTAAAACAAGACACTGTTTGCTGAGTGACACAGTGACACTGTTATACCAAGCTCTGCTCTGGGCACATTACGGAAATGAGGAATTCTTCTTTCATAGAGCTTACCTATGAAAGCTAAGCCTAAAGGTGCTCCTCAAGATAGTTAACTAATAGGAAACAGTTGAAGATTTCTAGTCTTTCTCACATTAGACCTCAGTGGCTGCAGCCTAGGCCTTCACCTAAGTTGGGTCACTCATACTAAAGAGTCTCTTGTTCATAGGGAACATTCTGTGCCATTTAATGAGCTTCAAATTACTCCAAAGAGTCCTGAGAATGGATTAGCCACCAACTTAAAGTTAGTGACTTTAAGTCAAATCCTGAAAACACATAGAATGTGTGGAGAACTTAGGCAGATGGATGACACTTGATTTCAACCAGATATGAAGAAATAAAATGCTCTATGAAGGAAAATTATAACGACCAAGGACATTATTCACGGTTTAAAAAGACTGCCAAGGAGGATAGCAATGCCCTTTGACCTATCCATAGTATCCCAGTCAGAAACAAAATACTATTTATCTAGACAGACTTAGCTCACTGAGGTACCAATCCTGTTTTCCCATGAAGTCCCTCCACCCACAGATGAGCTACTAAGAAACATCTACTTGGGACTTAAGGCCTCACATCCACCCACTTAAGACACCCATGTGCTGCTAAGAACTCACCGACATAAGCAGACATTTGTTCTCCTTGATGGAGCCCATGCAGCCCAGGAAGGCGACCACCATGATAATGGAGCCCACGATGATGAGCACATTGCCCAGTGTGAGGGAGGGGTGGTTATGGAAGAGCACTCCGAAGCTGTTATGGACCAGAAAGTAGATCCCAAAGCCCAATATGCAGCAGCCACAGAGCTGAAGGGAAGAATTACACAACATTGTGAGATAAAACATGGTTCTGATTTTCTCACTTAGTTGAGATCAGAATTATTACCTACCGCCATTGGCTCTCTCAATGCCCTTTTAAATAATCTTCTTACCCTGTTCTCTTTACCCCACAATCTCTTTGGGACCTTATGGGAGCTTCCCCCCATAAGGTCCGACTCACCTCATCCTACCTATAACAGATAGCAGAGGAAGTTAATTCCTGTGAGGAATACAGTATCTTCATACTTAAGACCGCCAACTCCTTGTTCCCTCAGTTATTTACAGATAGTCTTCTTTGGAAAGTCACGCTATGTAGAAGAAATAGACTAGGAGAGAGATACTGGTTCAAGAAGTTCATCTTGCTAGGATTAAAACTAGGAAAGCCAACCATTTAAGAATCTTCTCCTAGACACACGATGACCAACCCATCCTGTATTTGAAATTCAATGACTGAATTTGTCACAGTGAAACCTCGCCAGAACATGTGACTTCCTTTTCAGTCAACTATTCCTCCAGGAGGGAGTAAAGTGAGGGGAAAATGAGGAACTCTATGTACAGAATGTACAGTCAGGTTTCTCAACCCTAGATGGCAGCACTGATCAGTAGTAGCTAAAAACACCCAGCGGAGGTGGGTGGGGGGAAATACAGCATCTCCATAAAGATCTGTGTTGCCACTTTTTAGTTTTGCAGCTTTATTCTCTAGCAGGATGGGGAAGGGAGAAATTGTTATGTCATTAGGTTGGATATGCTGCACATGATCCAGACACACATGGGTTGCTCTCCACACCTGGCTTTTTGGCAAGATAGAGAAGTAGAGCAGAACTGAGAGGAGTAGAGCTCAGCTGCGGTCAGAACACACTTACCCAGAAAAGCAAGTTGAAGAAAAACAGGACATACTTCAGTAATTTCAAGATACTCATGCCCATACTGGAATATTGTTGCTCTAAAATGTAGAAGAAGAGAAGTAAGTGACCTTATTCTGTAAGGTGGTGGCAGAGATCAGAGGGCGCAAGTCTTCTGGGTTCAAGAATTTCTACTAAGATTAATAATAAAAATTTGTTGACTACTTAAAAAAAAAAAAGAATTTCTAGCACCGCCCCCACCTTGTGTTTGAGATGTGCCCCTCCTCTGGAATGTGTTCCTAAACTCCCTAATCTCTTAGTCTCTGAGCTGACGTACAAATTGGCTCATCTTGGACACTCATTTTTGCTTCAATTCAGGAAGTCAAGGATACTTAATATATTGAACTAACATTGTAGAGAGCAATCAAGCAGGAAAGTGTCAATCAAGTGTCAGTGGTGAAAAATCAACCTAAATTTCTAGAAGAGGGTGGGTCACAGTGACACACAGCAGACCAGCAGTGCACAGGTCTGGATGAGCCTCTGGGTAAGAAGGCATCCCTGGGGCAGAAGTAGACCCATCAATCAGCTCTGAGGAATGCCAGTGTCTTGATCAATCAGTTTCTTAAATTCCCCCACGGGTACAAACATGCGACATTTGGTCCATAAACCTCTCCATATGAAAGTAGGGGAAACTCACCCACACCTTATTCATTCTTAACTGAAGAAATTCCTAAGTTGCTTTCTGTTCTAGAAGCCATGGGAAATGCAACTATGTGTATTTAAGCAGCAGCTATCACCCAGAAGAAGTCAATGTGACAGTACAGAGAAGACTGGCCAACAAATAGTTAATGGAAAAATGAAAATAAAGGAGAATGAGAGCTTGGGGATTTTACCCTCATCTACATTGTATTGATTTGCTGTTTATCTGTCAGAATGGGTTATATCAGAAGGACTGGAAACAACAAAATGTTGAAGAGGGTATGGAGAAAAAGGAACACCCATCCACTGTAAAGTGGCGCAGCAGCCATGGAAAATGGTATGGAGATTCATTAAAAAATTAAAGCTGGAAATGTCCTGTGATCCAGCAAGACCACCATTAGGTAATTATTCAAAGAAAATGAAAACATTAATATGAAAAGACTTATGCACCCCAATGTTCATAATAGTCCAGACATGGGATCAACCTAAATGTCCATCAGTGGATTACTGGACAAAGAAATTGTGGTAAATATTCTCAGTGGACTACTCAGCTATTAAAAAAGATAAAGTCTTGCCTTTTGCAACAACGTGGATGGAACTTGAGATGACTATGCTAAATGAAATAAGTCAGAAAGTGAAAGACAATCACCAGATAGTTTCATTTATTTGTAGAATATAAATAAGCAAAAGAAACAAACCAGCCAAACACAAGGGGAAAAAAATCTAAGACTGTGAGAATTATGGCAGTTATCAGAGGGGGGGTATGTATGTAGTGGTTGGAGCTTTGAGGTGAGTGAGTGCAACATGTACACACATCAAGGGGTAGAGCTGTACTCCAGGAATTAAACGGTTATGGAAATGAGTGAAAAATCAATAAAAACTGATTGAAAAAAATGGAAAAATAAATGAAACATAAAGCTATAGTTTTTTTAAGGAATGACTTGAGAGACATTTTATAAGCTAATGTACATTGTAGGTCTTTAAGAGAAAAGCACTTTCAACTATACATCTATTCTTATACTGAAGTTTACTTATTAACAGCTCAGAAAACACAGAACACAGTTTGATAAACACTAGTAATGGAATCGAGCTGGGATTCTGGCAGTGCTGTATGACAGAAGTGTGGCATTGGGCTACTTTCTTGACCTTTCTAAACTTGTTAAAATTTCTTCACTTTTAAAATGGTGATATTAATGTCCATCTTATATATTATTCTGAGAATTAAAAGAGGTACTATTTCCTGGATGGCTCAGAACCAGTCTTCTGGTTTAGTGAAAGCCAACTGGAAGAGCAAATCCAGAACTTTGCTCTGAAGTACATCTACCAACTTATTCCTAAGTTTCACCACGTTTCCTGTTAGATTTTCAGGAATAAAATATATCAGGGGCCAGAGGTACTTAATAATCTTTTGCCTGTTTCGTTTTTTCATTTTTAAATACCTTTTGTGTGCTATTAGTAAAAAAAAATTCTAACAATAAAGAAAGTACAGAGAAGAAAGCATAAAATCTCTGGAAACCCCACCTCCCAGAATCACCAGCATCACCATTGGGGCACATCCTTGGAGACATTTCTCTACGGGCACGATGTGAGATCTATTTTGCCAGTTTACACAAACTGTAAGCAGTTTACACAGTTTACACAAAAGATCTATTTTGCCATAATTATATTTGGCAATATAATTATGGGTTTCCTATGGCTCTCTATACAAAGTATTTGGCTAGTCAGTGAAGAATATCAGTGGCTTGATGGACAGAATTTTGTTATAAATAAGAAGAAAATCTATTCTCCATGTGGCCCCTCAAGTTAAGGTCTTCTTCTCCCTCCCACCCCATTGAGATACATTATAGAAAGTTTTCTGAATCCTGAAAAATGCCATGTTCTTCAAAAACCTATTTCCATAAACATATCTTAGAATCCTCAGATCAGTCCTTCAATTCATTATCAATAGCCCCACTTTGTAAACAGAGAATCCAAGGCTCAGACTACAGCACAGGCACAAATAATACAGCCACTGAGCGGGTGAGGTGAGGCACACGCTTTCTGCCTCCAAACCCTGTATTCCTTCCACTGTCTCAGGCTCCCTCCCATGCTCCCTACTTTTCAACTCGACTTATTTGCTGGAATGGGATAAGCCTCAGGAGGACCCTTCCCATCTTGCGCAGGTTGAACCCCTGTGAACTGAGAGGCAATGGGAGTTAACATGGATGTCTCTTTGAGGGAGCAATTAGCAAGTGTAGGGAGAGAGGTGATAGTAAAATATAATCAAACGTAAAGCATGCTTCCATCACTTTGTCAAAGGGATGTGTCTATCATTTTATTTCTCCCTGAAATCGTGGTCTGATGAAAAATTTTTCCCTTCAATGCTGCTCTCAAAGGAGTGGAACTGATGATTTGTAGAAGTGAACAAACAGGAAGAAGCAAAGTAGAGAGAAATGTGTTATGACAAACCCAAATGATCTTGGGGTTTCATTTAACAAAATTACATTGCTCAACTGAAAAATTATAGCTCAGCTGAGCTAGACCTTTAATAAAAAAGGTCAATTTTGAAATAGGAAAGTTACCGAAAAAGTTACCACGTTACAGAGTCAGGAGACTAGAATTTTCTGCCCTTATTCTAAAAAGATATAGAACTTTGCAGTGGAGGGTCTCTGTCTGTGGTATTCCTCTCCAAAATTTGGTAACCCGAATCTACTGATAAGGACAAGACAAAACCCAAGTCAAAGGATATTCTAGAAAATAAGTTGCTATTGTTCTTCAAGGATATCAATATCATGTAATACAAAGACAGACTCAGGGGGCCTCCCTGGTGGTGCAGGGGGTTAAGTCTCAGCACTATGAAGCTATCCGTGGCCACTGCAGCACGATTTAGATCCCAGGCCAGGCAGATGACCCACATGGCGCAGCAGACCTCTCCTGCTTTGCCTGCTGCTCCCCTCAGCAGTGTATTTCAGTCAATCCACCTGTTCTATTCCCCACTATCTCTGATGAATCCTCTTACCTCCCCGCACCTCTGGCATGTACCCCAGTTCTTATATGTGTAAATAAATAATCTTAAAAAAAAAACCAGACAGACTCAGGCATTGTTCCAGATAAAAGGAGACTAGGGAGAAATGACTAAAAGCAATATATAATCAGAGATTTCTTTTTGTTATAAAGAACATTCTTGGGGCAATTGTGGAATCTGAATAAAACCTATAGATTTTAATAATATTATACTAGTGTGAATTTCTTGATTTTGATCATTGTAAAGTATTAATCTAAGAGAATGCTTGTTGAAAATACACACTGAAGGTCTTAGGGATAGAGGATACCCTGTCAGCCATTACTCTTAAATGAAATGTCAGTGTTAGGGAAGTTTGGGTGAAGGGGCTCAGAAAGACCTTGAATCAGAGGAACTATTTTTGCAACTTTTCTATGTCTGAATTTTTGTCAAAACAAAAATATTTTTGAAGCATTGCCCATAAGTAAATGATCTAAGTAATTTTGTTGCAAAAATCATTACAACTTAAATCTCCGATTATTTCCATACTGATAAGCTACAATGGCTCTACTTAGTACAACACACCATGGGATAATTATTCTCTCCTAATATAAATTCTAAGCCATCAGCTCAAATTTACTTGAACAAATTTTAAGAGATATGATATCAAAATCATTTCTAAGCCTTATTCCTCAATTTAGATCTCCCAAAATATGAAGTGTCAAACAAAGTTCTGACATTTGGATTTATAATGATGTTGTATTTTTATGTTTGTTTATATTAAAATGCACTGGAAATTTCTTTATGTGAACAAAGAACAGTTTATGCCTATTTAATAAGCCTATAAGGAAAGGTAGTATAGTGTGGGGGAAAGATTATTCCATAGAGAATCAGGACACATTCTAAATAACGACTAATTAAGTAACTTCATGACTTTGGATAGGTCACCATAACTGAAAAGCAAGCAGATAGAAGTATTATAATAATAAATATTTATTGGGTTGTCACTATGCATTAGGCAATTTATTTGAACCTAGACTCTTTTAAGCTTCCTTTAGAGAAGTAACAACATTCTAACACGCAGAATATAGCATTGTTATTTAAATGATCATAGAAATGTATCTTTGTGGCATCTTCTTTTTAAGAAGTTCTTGGTCACTATATAGGATGCAGTGATGCTATTGCTTGGGGAGGAACTTGCTGTGTGCTGGTGAAATGAATAGAGGACTTGCCTCTATATCCCAACACAGAGCTCATGGCCTCTACTGTGAGTGTTCACCCACTAGCTTTGGGCACGAATCATCTCCCTCTTCCCCAAGACCTGCTTCCAACTGCATGCAAGGTCCACTCTGGACAGCTGTCTAGTCTTTCTGTGTTGCTGTGCATTGCAATGGTGTGTCCCGAGGACAGGTGACCTGCCTTTACGATCACATTGGATGTTCACTGGGTACACGAAGCGCTGTGGGCTGACTAATATAAGAACAAGACCAAACCACTGTAATTAAATCAACATAACATTTCCTGGAACAGAAGCTGAAAGAAAGAAAATGTATGTAACTTCCAAAAAGCTCCACCCTTCACTAGAACCTAGGGGAAAGTCTAAGCTGAGGATGAAGAAATTTTCCTTTTCATCCTTGTTTCAAGTCACATAGCATCAAAACTGTTGCATGGACATCTCAAGAGTCCCATCCAGGGCTGGACTCAGGACCCACCTGGATCATGACCTTGCCTTCCACTTTTAGGTCTTCCTTCTAGAACCAAGGAGCAGAAATAGATTCCCACTCCCCATGTCCCACAACCATGGCTGATTACACTCCAGTCTCACTTGCTGAGTCTCATTTCAGACATCCCCTGGGGCAGCAAGGGGGCCGTCATCACACTTCTTTGAGTTCATTACCTACAGTCTCCACAACAAACTCAGACTTCTCTGAAAGTGAAGCCAAACAGTTACTTCCCCTCCCAGGAAGTCCCTGGCACCCTCCCAAACCCCTCCTACATTTTGTGTGCTCCCTCCATCATAGAAAAGATCATATCATATTTGTGTATTGCCCTGTCTGTCCGCCATGCCGGATTCTACAAATGCTTTGAGATTGATAACCATGAAGTTATCCTTGTGTCCAGCACTTAGCATACTATCAACCTCATGCTAGAATGTTGTGGGATGGGGGTGGTGAAGAACAGTCCTCATATTGGAGTCTGCAGTCCTCTGGGCTTCACCTAAGGACTTGTGAAACTAAAAACCAAGAGTTGGAAATTTCCAGTTCATGCCTCTCATCAGTGACCAAAGCTGAAGGTGGGGATAACAGTAGTTATAACAGGGGCCCAGCCCCTTCATGAAAGACTAACTATTCACACAGGAAACATCACAGGAAATCTTGTTTGAGCTCAGTCTCTGCTCCAATTTAACCACAGTTTCAAAATAGTGCAGATGATGGAGGAGATTGAGAAAGCAAAACTTCTTTGTTCGGCCAGCGGTTAAGATTCTGCTTTTGCTCAAACCTCTTCCAAACCATTTGCATACATATCTGATTTTTTTTATTGCCTCCCTCAGGAGTTCTTTTTTTCCCATTTCAAAATTAAAACTTTTTAAAGACCCAAAACTTTAAAAAAAACAGGTAAAGGGTGTCAGTTGGATGGAATTAGAGAGAAACTGGATTACAATGCTGTATACTTGAAATGTGTAAACTAATTTCACCTCAACATTTTTTTTAAATATTAAAATTTGTAATTAATGGTGGAAAATGTTAGAATTATGTTGGTGGGAACCGGGTGGTATATACACATGTCAAGGTGAGAAACTTCTCCCAACACTTATAGAGTATTGTACACAAATGATAGATCAATAAAAATGTTATTTAAAAGAATCAACCAGGGCCTCCCCGGTGGCGCAGCAGGTTGAGTGCAGCTCTGTGAAGCTGTACGCAGCCTCTGCAGCACGGGTTTGATTCCTGGCCGGCCAGGGAGATTCCTACGTGGTGCAGGAGGCCTCTCCTTTCTCACCCACTGCTCCCCTCAGCAGTGTATTTCGTCAGTCTGCCTGTTCATCAGTGTATTTTGTCAGAGCTATTCCCTGCTCTGTCTCTGGTGAATCCTCTCATCCTCCCACGCATCTGGCCTGTACCCCGGTTCTTGTATAAATAAATAAATCTTCAAAAAAAAAAAAAAGAATCAACCAACCCTGGTCTCCTGCCTCTACGTCTTTCCACAGAAACAGATGTCTGTTTATTCTAGCAATGCCTGCAATGGTCCAAATATCTCTCTGCCCCCTGTCAAGACTTACGTTGGGCCCCAAACAAATCTCGGAACAGTGTTAATAGCCACGTCTTGGTTTTTCCTCTAACTAGCATCTTATCTTTGATTCCTCAGCTTCTTCAAATTTGTCTTTCTAGAAATGAAATCCATGTTCAACACACAAGTTCTGCTGTCATGGAGACTGTCACAGACCGGGCCCCCTGCCTGGAGTGTTCTCACCTGGCTTACTTGGTTGGCACTAGGTAAGACGTGAGGCACGGAAGGAAGAAACAAAATAACGGTTCCATGTGCGTTAAGATCAAGACTATTTCCTGGACAAATACTCACTTCTGTCTCCTATCTTGCCGTTCTCCCTCTCCACTAAATCATAGTGACTGGCCTCAGGAGACACTTAGCACCCATTTATTAAATGGATTCTTTTAAAAAGCCTAGTCTTTAGTTTTTCATTCAAGGATCACTAGCCCCTTGTGGTGCTCTGGGAATCTACAGTCTTTTGCTCCACTCCTGCTCTGCATTGTCAAGTGGGTGGGTGTAATCCTTGGGGACTTTCCTTCTCCCCCAGGGTGTACTCAGGTGAGACACTTATAGGTCTAAGAAGGAGAAAGCTCTGTTGGTTTTTTGTGATGACGTGACCTCCAGTAACTATGGTGGTCACAGAAAGCTAAATCTAACTATCACTTTCTGAGTTCAGGAGATCTCAGCCATTCGTTATGAGACATGAGTTGGGAAACATTGAAGTAGCGGGTTTTGTTGGTTGGCGCATGCCATATTATATTTATCAATATCAGGTTTTGTATATCAAGGTTATGTTTATTTGAGAGAACCCTGACGATCACAATGCTCTTCCTAGCCTTTGAAAATAACCAAGTCAGGCATCCCTTTTAAGTGTTGGCTCTTTCACCTCGCAAAATACAGGTACCGACCGTGTCCTGTGTTGCTGACTCTGAGCTGGGTCTTGTGATTTGTAGCTGCCCTTCTAATTAGGGGGAGTCACAATGGCAGTCACAAGCTTGAGATCTGAACATTTCCCCAATGAAGACGACCTGCGTTTCCCAGCTGCTTTTCTAAATGTCTCTGGCTGTTGGTTCTCTCCTCATTTAAAAATAGCAAGACCAGAGCTTTTGGAAAATGTATCCAACATTATCAGGCACAGAAGATTCTAGGCATCAGAAATGACCACACACAGAAATTCGAGTTCCAAAGCAATTTGAGTACGTGAACGTCCTGACCCAAAGTGACACCAGATAATGGGAGACTGGTGAATTAAAAATCTTTCTGCCCTGGTAGCACTTTGAGAGTTAGTAGGAACTTGCTAATTTTTTACTTCCTGGACTAAATATTTGTGAAACAGTGTCGTGGTAGACCTTAGGGTTCCTAGCGAGGGATGTGGAGACTCCTAAGAAGATACTCCATACTACATGAGATGGTTCCAGTCTATGCTCTCAACCAAAATTAAAATGTCATCAGTCTTACCTTTTGCAGGCACTTTTCCTCAGTCCTTCAGGCAGAATTGGTGATTATCCTTGAGGGGCTGTGACAAGTCTGGTAACAAAGATATCCGGGGCTATATGTGTAAAAGGAGAAGTGACGGGTATAAATATGTCACTGATGACAGGAAACTCAGAGAGGAGGGAGGAAGTAGGGCTGGGCCACCCTCGCTAGCCTCAGAGATATACTTCTTCCTCTCTGGCATTTTAGAAACCCACCTCCATAATTCACCCAAATAACCAAACTAGCTTCTGTGAAATATGGGAAAACTCAAAGACCAGTTTGGTTCAGGCAGTAATCTGTGAGCACTGGTGTCCTCTGGGTATTGATTTTGTCTGTAACTGGACAGTGCTTCCCAACTAAGGTGGCATTTCAGAATTATCTATGGATCTGTTCAAGAGCAAGTGTAACTGGTCCCATCATGAGAGTTTCCCACTCAGGCAGACAAACTGAAGTGAACCCAAGAATCAATATTTTAAAAGATTTTCTAAGACAGACACTTAAGAATGTCTCTGAAGTCACTCCACCTTCTGCCCACTTTCTCCCCACGCTTCCCTCAGCAGACTTCCAGAAGATCCCTACTCTTCAGTTTGGTTGGGTCATCAGTTTTAGATTTTTTTTTGTCTCAGGAGCTAGACCATACTTAAATAAAGGTATTGGCAGGTGACAAATCAAGGTAAAATCCAGGGGGCACTGGTAGAAGTGATTTAATTAGTAGAGGAAGCCCCAGACTTAGAGCCCCCAAATTTGAGTTTTCGTCCCAGCTTTATCTCCATTAATTGAGATACACTGAGCGCATCTTAACTTCTCAGCTTCAGTTTATCAATGGTTACATCTAATAATAAAATCCCACTAGACAGTTAGTGCTATGCCCACATTTACAGATAAGAAAAAAGAGTCAAGTATTTGCCCAAGATCATACAATTAAGAGATGGCAGAGATGGGATTCAAATTCAGGATCATGGGAAATGCTATCTTAGGCACATGACCAGTAGATTTTGAAAAAGATATTTTTAGTTCTCACTCCACTGTGTCTACTGGGATTTTTCTAGAAAGGGTGAATTGGTTGGTAAGAACCACAATACTTCCTGAGCCAGCTGTGACACTTGAAACCAATCACTGGGCCCCATTTTTCACATCTAACAAATGAGGAGATGGACATTGTCCCCCGCTTGACTTAGAAACATGCAGTTGGGATAGCTAACTGTCTCTTTCCCTTTACCCTGAGACATTCAGGTTCTGGAATAATCTCTGACCAGAACTGGCTCCTGGGGAAAGAAGCAAAGTTCTTTATTGCAGAACTTGTTAGTCCTTCATAGTCTCTTAAGAGTCTCTAAATTTAGATGTAGAGAACCCAAATCTAAAATTTTTCAGATTTTCCCAAACTCATTTCGTCATGGGACAATGCGTTTTCTCTCCTGACATCAGTCTAAGGTATCAACGCCCTTCAGTGGGGGTTGCTGTTATGCTGATGGCCCCTGCAGTGGAGGAGCTGAGGACAGACCTCCCTGACTCATATTTCCTGTTATCTCACTGAGCCTGTAGATTCACAAAGCTCTGTGCACAACCCAATTGATCACTGATCTCCACGCAGACACCTAATCCAGCAAATGAAATTCACTTTAGTGAACTCAAGCCTGATCCTTCAGTATTCACCACCCCAGGGAAAGGCCTAGCCCTTCACCTTCTCCTACCAAGACCAGGTTTGCTCACTAAAAGCCAGGTCTCCTCTTAGGCTTCTCTCTCTCCCACAGTGTCACCAAGTCTTATAAATTATATCTTTGCCTAAATATTTCTCAAATTAGGCCACTTCTCTCCAACTCCAGAGTGATTACACGAATCCTTCTCTCTCACTTGGGTTACCTACTATATTCCAGCCTCCTCAAAATCAGCTTGGATATTTTCTCACTCCATTCAAAGGAAGAGTCTCCTAAAATTTAATCACGTCATTCCTCAGCTAAAAACTATTTTAAGGCTCCCCATAGTTTTTAAGCAGCTCCTGTTAACTCCTAATAATATCAGCTGGCCACTCCATCCCCATCCCACACCTTTGGTCCCAAAACAGTGGACACAGAATTCCTTTGAGTTTGAACAAGTCAGTTAGTTTCTCTTGTTCTCTCTCACCCTGTCACCTAGTCACCTAACTTCTATTTATTTTGCACATTTCAATTCTTCAGGAAAGTCCTCCAAGCAGGATGAGATAATCCAGCTTTCTGCTACTGCTGCCTCCTGTCATCATTGCTTTTGTAATTGTCTGTTTTCCCTTCTAGATTTAAAACTCTGCAGATAGGTTGTGTGTGTATCGAATGATTATATCTGGCCTGTAAGAGGTGTTCATAAATATTGGAATAACTTTAGCTAGAGTGAATTCTATAGGTTAAGGAAACTACAGATTTGGGAAGGGAAGGGAGAGCAAGAGAAAGAGATGGGGGGAAGAGAAGCACTTATCAGAGTGGGGGCTCAGTGTTTAACCTTACGAATAATACCACGACGGACATGACTTTGCATAAATATGGAGACATCATTGGGTTCCCATTTAGGTCTTTTCTAGTTGATTGAGTCTGTTTTTATTCTTTGAAATAGTGGCTATCACAATATAAGAAGAATTCTCAAGTTTTTTCAACAAGTTATTCAGGTCTGCAAGAATGCTAGAGTTTGGGAGGCACAGATGCATGTATATGAGAATTACAAGATTGGAAACTTCAAGGGGAGATTAAATTTACACATTTGATTTTGCTTATGATCTGTAGAGTTTTGAAGATAGTTTAATAGATGTTTTTTAAACAGGGAATTCTTCATGCAATTTGATTGCTATTAGAAATTATATATTAGAAATTAATATATAAAAAAGATGGAAATTATATGTGCTTAAAATTCTCACATTTGGCTTTATATCAATTGGATATTTCTGGAGTTCCAAAAATACATTCATACTGAAAAATAACTTTAAAAAATCTGGGTTTCAGAAGTTGTTTACATGTTGTCTAGAGCTCATTTCCCTAGTTCTAAATCAAGTAGTTATAATAAATCATAGACATGATGTTGAAAAACGCCAACTTTTATAGCAGTGTGGCCTCTGGGACAATGGTGGTACCTTGAATGGAAGGTTGCCAAACCATGTCACGTTGGGTTAAATCCCAAAGGCAAGGCAGTATCATGTTTCATTATCATAGTTAAAATGAAAAGCATCATCCACTGAGGTTTCTGTAACAAAAATTCCATGGACTAGATAGTTCTTAAATGACCAAATTCATTTCTCACAGTGCCGGAGGCTGGAAAGTCCAACATCACGTGCACAGCAGATTCAGTGTCTGGTGAGCCACTAGGAAGTAGATTCAGTGACCGCTTCCTGGTTCATGAACAATCATCTTCTGCTGTTTCCTTACTTGGCAGAAGGGGGGATGGAAGCTCTCTGGGTCTCTTGGCTCCACCCTCAGGTCCTAGTTATTCCCAATGGTCCCACAAACTAGTACTATCACTTTGGGGATTAGGTTTCAACATATGAATTTGAGGATAGACCTCCCTGACTCATATTTCTTGTTATCTCACTGAGCCTGATAGATTCACAAACATTCAGTCTGTGTCACATACCCAGAAATGGAACCCTGAATTTTGGACTCTCAGGGCTGGGAGTATGGGGCAGTGGAAACAGTAGGGAGTTGGAAACCACAAGTAATTCACAGAGGTCCGTTGAGGAAGTCATTTAACTCTCTGAGTCTTAGTTTCTTCATCTGTGCTGTGGGGCTAATTTTTCCTTTATAGCCAAATGAGGACCAAGTGAGACGTTTTGTGGAAAAGCTTTATAAAATTTAAAGACAGACATGGGGCCTCCCCGGTGGTGCAGCGGGTGAGCGCTGGGCTGCGAAGCTGCCCGCGGCCTCTGCGGTGCCGGTTCGATCCCCGGCTGCTCCTCGGCCAGCGGAGGAGGGTCCCACATGGCGCGCAGACCTCTCCTGCCGCCCACTGCTCCCCTCAGCAGTGTACCTCGGTCCTTCTGCCTGCTCTGCTCCCCGCTCTGGCTCTGGTGAATTCTCTCACCCTCCCACGCTTCTGACTCTACCCAGTGCATGTATAAACAAAAAACAAACAAACAAATAAATAAAACATGCCTCTATAAAAAAAATTATTAAAAAAATAAATAAAGACAGACATGTATATTAATTATTCATAGTAGTATGTTCCTTAGAAAAGACCTAGCCAATGCTCAGAGTTTTCAGATTTCAAAGCCTGAGACATGATGTGGTTAAGAGACCTGCCTCAGGTTTCTTGGCTGGATAAGAAATAAGCCATCGCAAGCTTTGGCTCACTCATGGGTTAGGGGGATGGTCAGCCACAAGGGGATGCACAAGGGCTTATCTCCTATGCTGCAAACTCTTGATTTCCGCAAAAAAAAAGTTGTAAGACTATTTCTTATTAGTCATTTTCTTTCAGCTCAAGTCGGTGTTAGTCACTGAAAAGATTTTGTGACGGGAAGCCCAGACTAAATAAGCTTTTTCACCTTCCTGCCTGAGCTCAAAGAGAACAGGTGACAGTCCTTTTACAAAAAATGCTGCTTCCTGTGTTGACAAGTGTGGCTGTGATCTCTTGTCTATACCCACCATCCAACTTGACTCCACATCAACTTCCCCTCCCACCCATCAGCAAAGGACATGGCCCTGAGACAAGGATCAGGATGTATTATAGGTCATCATATAATGTGAATTCCTTATAGGTCATCATAGTTTTCCATTCACTTCTCTTCAAAAGAAATCTAAGTCTATGTGTGACAAGAATCTCCCTTTGCAGGTCAACCTACTTCTCGCCTCAAAGGACATATTAACTGGGGGTGTCCAGTGCCCCAAAACTATAGACTATGGAGAAATCATCTCAAGTGTTGATTTGAGATGCAATTTATAAGGGAAGTTGTAATGAGGGCTAAAAAGAAGTTTATGCACATATATAGCAGCAAAATTTTTTATTCAAATGAAGTTTTAAGTGGAACAGCAATAAATAAAATAGAAAAAAGCAGAATTGCTCAGAGAGCATGGGGGTGGGGCTGAGTGCTTTTTCTCTTCCCCCATGAGGACTTCTTAGGCATCTTTGCCCAACTCTAAGGATAAGAGGTGGTCAGCCCCGGGTTCCCTGCCAGTGTTGGAGATTATTTTCAACTATGGAACCAGGAAGAAGGAGACTCTGAAGCTTCATGCTTCATTGCCATGACTCTATGGAAATAGGAAGCCAGTACTTCAGCCAACATCTGCCCTTCCCCATTTGTTCCCACAGAAGGAATAGCGGGGAAATATTCCCCAATTGACAGCTATTGTGCTGGCCACAAACATCCGAAGGGTTTGCTTCTTGGTTGGAGACTGTGACTTTGCATGTGATGCAATGTGGGACTTGGGGCTGGAGGGAAGTCGGTTACTCTGGTGCACGCTGTCCTGCCTGACACTCTTCTCTCCGGTCAAGGATAACTTGATCCTATGGCCTTTCTGTCATATGCAAGCAGAGTTCCTCATGTGTCCCTGTGTAAGGAGAAAAGCCACTGTGTGGCAGGTGGTGTGGCACAGGGGAGCGAGAGCGGGACTCAGAAACAGAAGTGCCCTCGTCTGTGTTCTAGATTTACCAGGGAAAGTCCATTTAGTCTCCAGGGGTGCAGGGTGGGGGGAATCACTTCTCTAACTGCAGAAGAAAATGGAGTCTCTGAATATTTATTACTTGTAGTATAAAAAAATGAATTCCTCCTACACAGTAGTTTTAGTTGGGATTTGATGCAGAAGGTGGAGCCCAGAGCATTAACAAGAGCTACCATTGACTGAGTTCTCTGGGCCAGATAGTATATGGCACACATTCTTATTCGAAGTATGAGACCAGCATGGATGGAATTTCCTCTTACAGATGAGAAAGGCTAAGATCAATGAGTTGAAGTAACTTTCCCATGGCACACTGCTAGAAAGTGACAAAGCCTACATTAAAAACTTCCCCTTGACGCAGAAGCCTGCTTCCCTGTCCAGCTCCCCAGAGTTAATCTGCATAAACACTAGCTACAGCTGAACCCCTACCCATAATGGAAGGCTGACAACATTTTCTTTCACCAGGAATACCCTAAAACAGTCTCCCATATTTTCCTAGTTTACAAGAGGCGCAGGAAGAGGGTAATAATCTTTATAAGCAAAACCTGAGCATGTTTACAACTCCAGGCATGTCTTATAAGTGTCGTTTTCCAGCCTGGTTTTTGAGTATCCCCCGTGGATGGTGAACGCAATCTCTTTGCTTAACTGAAAAAAGAAGAACGCTTCAAGGAAAAATTTAAGTGAGAGAAACTCCTCCGTCAGCACTGGGAGAGCAGGATCTGAGGAGCCAGACGGGAGGTAGGCAGCCCTTGTGTGCAGTGCTGACCTCGGCTTTTCTACCGAAAGTCAACTCAGCTCTTTTGAGTTGCATAGAGCAAGGAACAAACCCATAGCCACCACACCCTACGTACTAACTACTGAAAGCATGTGCCAGCAGGAGGCGGGGTAAGTGCAGGCAAGGGTGTAAGGGCAGGAAGGGGCACTGAGCAGGTTTTCTGATCCAGCAGACCTGGTAAAGGAGGAGTCCTGGAGCCCTCAGTGGCTTTTGCAGGCTTTTATTGGGATTTACTGGGTACACAGCAGGCAGGGGTGCTGGGGGGCCGGGAGGCTGGCAGGCCTCCTAGTCCCCAGCAAGTCTTCACTCTTTCTGGGCTCTCCGGCCTTCTCTGGCATTCTCTCTGGTTCTCTTCCACTCTCCTGGTGTCCCGGTGATGCCACCCTTATAAGCCCAGCCTTAGCCCAGGTGTTTCCTATCTACATAGGCCCACACCCTACTCCAGGTGCCCACCATCAGGCATGATTCGGGACCACAGGGTTCCGTCATCTATCCTAGTTGTGGGAGGGCAGAAAAGCCTGATACTTTTTTCCTTACCCTGCAAAGGGCTTGGCACAATGCCTGGCAGGAGGAGGCGACACTCAATACATACAATACATGGAAGTTCCACTTCCAAGGGAGCCTGCAGCTGTAGCAGCAGGGGAGATGAACCCTGCAGATACTGCAGGGGTCCTTTGCCTCATCTCTCCAAATCTTCATTCCCCACTTCTAAGTCCCAGACTGCAAAGAATTAGAGAATGCTTTCCCTAAGCCAAATCCACTGCAGAGAAAGGGAACTACACGGTACAGTTGTAGTACCATATTCTTGACCCATAATTAATATCCTGTAATTATCATTACTATTACTTTCACTTTTAAATAGGTGTATTTGTTGGAGTGATTTTAGGTTCTTAGCAAAATTAAGTAGTAAGTACAGAGATTTCCATATATTCCCACCCAGCTTTGCACAGCCCCCCTCACTATCAACAAACCACACCAGAGGGATACATTTGTCATAATCAATGAACCTACACTGACATGTTATGATCACCAAAATTCTGTAATTTACATTAGGGTTCACTCTGGCTTGGTGTTGTGTATTTTATTAGTTTTGACAACTGTGTAATGACATTACAGTATTTATACAGAATAGTTCACAAGCCTAAAAATCTCTCTGTTCTCTGCTTATTTATCCCTCCCCCAAGCTAGCAACCACTGAACTTTACCCTATTTCATAGACTTTTCCAGAATGCTATGTAGTTGGGATCACAGCATGCAGTCTTTACAAACTAGCTTCTTTCACTTGCATTTAAGATTTCTCCATGTCTTTCATGATATCGCTAGCATTTAATAATAGTCCATTGTCTGCATGCATCACAGTCTTGTTTTTCCGTTCATCTATAAAAGGACTCTTGATTACTTCCAAGTTTTGGCAATTATGAATAAAGCTGCTGGAAATATTCTTATGCCAGATACAAGTTTTCAATTCCTTTGGGTAAATACCAAGGAGTGTGACTATTGAATCATATGATAAAAATGTTTAGTTTTGTAAGAAACTTCCAAACTGCCTCCCAAAGTAACTACACTATTTTGTATTCTGAACAACATTGAATGAGAATTTCCATTGCTTCACATTTGGTGTTGCCAGTATTCTGGATTTTGATCATTTTACTAGGTAAAATGATGGTAATCTTACTATTTTTAATTTTGAATCACACTGTAATTATATATACAATATATGTATCATTTACATTCATTATTTGATTAATGTCTGTCTTTCCTCTATAGATTATGAATTCTGTGAGAGCAGAGATTTATTTTTTTTTATTTCATAACTTCTATCTAGTACAATGCCTTGGACATAGTAGATTTCAATGAACATTTCTGTGTATATGTGGCCAGCCTTACCAGTTTATTTTGGATGTGAACTTTCCCAGAAGGAGTCAAGTTTGATGGACATATGGAGTAGGATCTGAGCTTGTGTAGACCATTCCAGAACAGCAGTTCACCCAAGGCTGTCAGCACTCAACAGAGTCCACAGTCATACTCAGAGGCAACTAGTTACCCGGAGTTGGTATCCCCTTGTTTAAGTAGTTGGTTTTTAGGTAGAATTCATATGCCTTTAACTGGTTCATCAACCCTTCATCCAACATAGTTCTTTTCCTTTTTCTTTCATCTGAGGAAACCTGGCTTCTTACTTAGGCACTTCTTCAGGGCTTCATGGATGTCTCTGTTTCTCAGGCTGTAGATGATGGGATTGAACATGGGTGTCAGGATAGTGTAAAGTAGAGAGAACCCTTTGCGCAAGAGCTGGGAAGAGTTGGCTGAAGGCACAAGGTATGTAGCAATCAGTGTCCCATAAAAGATGGTGACCACAGTGAGGTGGGAAGAACAGGTGGAGAAAGCCTTTTGCCGTCCTGTGCCAGATGGAATTCTTAGGACGGTAGCAAGAATGCAGGAGTAGGAGGCTGCGATGAGAAGAAATGGGATCAGAGTCACTGCAGAAGAGGTGGCAAAGGCTATGGTCTCAGTCAGGGAGGTGTCGATGCAGGAGAGATGGACCAGAGGGGTGAAATCACAAAAGAAGTGATCAATTTGGTTGGGCCCACAGAAGGTTACTCTAGACAGTAAAACCATGGTTATTGCTGTCAGGAGGAAGCAGCAGAGCCAAGAGCTAGCAGCCAGTCTAATGCAAAAGGAGCCTGTCATGAGAATAGGGTAGTGGAGAGGTTGGCAGATGGCAAGGTAGCGGTCAAAGGACATCACAGCAAGTAAGAGACACTCTGTTGCAGCCAGGGATCCAAAGAAGTAGAACTGTGCCAGGCAGCCAGCCACAGAAATAGTCTTCTGTTCGACTAGGATAATCAGCAACATCTTGGGGACAATGTTGGAGGTATACCAGATCTCCAGAAAGGATAAATTCACCAGGAAAAAGTACATGGGGGTGTGGAGGTGATGGCTGAATAAAACTAGCAAAATAATAAGGATGTTTCCAGAAACAATTAAGATATAGAAAACTAAAAATATTATAAAGAGGAAAATATTAAGCTGTCGGATAGATGAGAATCCCTTAAGCACAAATTCCACTACCGTTGTTTGGTTTTCCCAGGATGGGATCACCATGCCGTGGCTCACCTAGAACATCCAGGAAAGGGCATGCAAAAGGCAGAAAGTTCGATCTCACCCATGGAGCACAGACTGACAGTGAATGATTTTAATTCCCCACTCAGGCTTTTGGAAGTTTTTTCATTTGGGTGGGTGCACATTTTTTTCCTCCTCCAGGCCTGAAATGGAAAGAAAAGAACTTGTAATAAGAATTTAAATCTTCTTTAGTCCCTCATTCTTCTCCCACCTCTATCTTCGTGAAGAGCAATGCCAGGTTTTGGAAGAAGCAAGAAACAGAAGAAAGAAGAGGAATGCATAAGGGAGAGAGGACAAGGTGAAAAAATAAAAGCAAAGACAATGGCCTGCTCTGCATTCTCCTGGTTGGACTGTTGTAGTTTGGGGCGTGAAGGAGAGAAAGAAGCAAGATCTAAAAGGACAGTGAGCACATTCCAGAGGGTTGTGAGCCCTTGACAGAACCTAGACAATCAAAGAACCCTCCTCTTCCACCTCAAGGTTTTTGATCTTTCGGGAAATGGTCCCTATCATTTGTTGTGTATTCTTCTCCTTTCAGCTTCTTTGTGAGTTGAAAATTAAGTATCTTATTTCTGTTTTGCTTTCCATAGTATGAGCAAGAGAAAATCATTTGAGTGTGAGGTTCATGATTCTCTGATTTGGAGTCAGTGCCCATTCGGGAGTAACCCAAGGCCAGGAGTGCTTTCTCTTGTACATTTTAATATATTTTTATTGTGGTGACACTGGTTCACAACACTGTTTATGTTTCAGGGGTATAGGCTGAAACATAATTATCTTCAAATGCCCATCACCACTGCACCCATAATCCTCCACCAGTGGGGTCCCTCCTTCTTTTGCTCCCCACTTCTCATCTTCCCCCTCTGTTAGCTTCAGTTCTGCAGTCAGATTTCAAAGCCTTGCTTAGGGTTGGTTTGCAGTTTTAAATAGATACGATATATCAGATCATTATAAAGATTTTAGTTAGGGTTACAGGAAATGGGAACAAAAGATTCAGAACTAGATGACTTAATGCATGGTTCCTCAACAAACCAGTTGAATAAAGGGTACCTCAGTTTCTTTGGAGTGAGAGATAAGGAAGCCCAAGTCTCAATCTTGTACCAGTCATACACCCCAGCACAAAGTCCAGGCCAGGCAGAGAACACACCCCAAAGCATTGCTGTCACAGTCAGAAGTGAAACCACTTTACTGTTCTCCTTAACATAGTTATGAACGGGCCTTGTTGCTATGAACGGGTTTTTAATTTTCAGGTGGAGCTAGCAGAACCCATGTGCAGGGACAGAAGCACGGCGTCCACAGAGTAATGAGCTAACAATCAGGAGAAACCAGAGAGCCCTAAACAAAGCCAGGGCTCTGCTTCCTAAGAGTTAGATTTTGAACAAGTTGCGTCCTCTCCGAGACACAGTTTCTCATCTGTAAAATGGGATATAGAATTGGAGAAGAGCTTAACATGTGCTTAGCATGGGCCAAATGCATATAAATACAAAGACTGAGAAATCACTGCCTATTCGGAGCTGCCAAATTACTTAAGTTGACTGAAGAATTGCCCTTACTTTGAAGGGGACATCGTCAACAAATCCCAATTTATTTTGCCTCATGCTACAGTGTGTGTGCATGTATAATGCAAATAAACTCTTTCTGCTCTTATCATACTAACAGCCATTGACAATACATTCATCCCATTTAAAAAACTGGCCCAATGTCCTGCATACCGTTCTGGGGAGCACCAGTCCCAGCTTTCCAAGTGACTTGCTGAATGAGCCTGAAATCTGTGCTGATGAACGGTCATGGTGTCCAAAGGTTGCCAGCAACCCGTGATTCAGATTCTGACTCATTGAATGGAGCAGGGGAGACTTCGTTCCCTCTACTGCAAAGCATGAATAAGGATTTGAGCTCCTAGAGAAAGTGTTTCTGTTCTGAAAAAACACAGGCTCCTGGATTTTGCTGCTGGGGCTGCTAATGATGATACTCCTCTAGCCCAGTGCTGAAAATATGCAACTATTCCTATATGCTAGGTGTTCTTATTATCCTTACTTTCCAAATGGAATCGCTGAGAGATTAGATGATGTGCCTGTACTCATCAGCTAAGAAGTAGAGAAAATGGGATTCAGACTAGGGACTTGTACCACTGGCCTCACCTAGCAAAGGACTCAACACAGGCAAGACTGAAATCTACACCAACAGAATAGATGAGCTTTACCTGCTAGTGCCTCAAAAAGGTCCTCTCTTACTCTAGGGAGCCAGGTCACAGAGGTAATGTCATGTCCATCTTCTTTGCCTTCAGAGAACGGGGTTAGACATCTGGAATGCATTTTTATTCAGAAAAACACCCCCATGCGCCTTTGACAAAAACTAAATTGGAGCTGTCAATCCCCAGGAACCTAGGAAGCCAGCTGAGTTTTGGTTCCACTTCTCAGCCTCCTAAGTATGTGTAACCTCAAGTTCCTGTGTGAGCAAAACTATCCCCTCCCCTGATGCTGGAGCTCATGGGCATTTCCCATGACTCTGGTGGGGAACTGTTGTTTATACTGTAAATTATATGAATCAAGGTGTTTTCACCTCAGAGGAAATCTTTTATTTTCCTTAGTTTTGTGTTTAGTTTCTACTTTAACAAAGACTCTTTGCATTTCTATGACCTTAATACAGAGTTTTAACTTAATGGTTGAAAATGGGTGATTATGTAATGCTTTGAGGGCTTGGAATAAAATAAAATTTTGAAGGAAGTATTTTTATTCTCTGGAAGAAAAATTGCATTTCCTGTGTGGTCTGTTGGGGAACTGAAACAAGTATCAACAAACAAGTATAACAGACATTTCTTGTCAAGGCCATTAATTAGGATTCTAGAAAACTTGTATCCTCCTGGATTCTTGCCAATGATTTCACTGAATGTCGTCCTGTTCTAGGAAGTGTAATTTGTGAACGGTGACCTCATGGAATTCAAGTTAACATTTACTAACAGGCATTAACAAACTATAGAGATATTTGCTCAAACTCACAAATTTATACAACTCTCCAATAAATGTAATAAGTTAAACTATGATAAAATAATCAAACAATTAGAGCAACCTCATTTGTTCGTTAGAACAGAAGCATTTTCTTTATGATCTAGTTCCCAGACTTCCTGACATGGTAATTCCCACTATTTGAAGTCACAAGCAATATATGGATACAGGCGGTCCCTGGGTTCAATGTCCTTGTTGATAGCTTCTAAGCAACCACTGTATGCCATGCATTGTGCTAAGTCTATATTCTGTAGTCATACAACATTTCTATACTGGCTGTTTTGCAAATGAGGAAATCCAGACTCAGAGATAGTGTCTTATTCCTACCTCAGAGCCTGACGCATGGTAAGATTTTAATAAATATTTGTAAATCAAGCACATTAATAAAAACAAGAACAAATGTCTAACCTTAAGCCCAATGTTCTTTCCATTTTATCAAATCTATCCTTCAGCCTACATGAAATGGTATAGTTACCCTCTCAAGTTAAAGAAAAGGCTTTAAAACCTGAATTGAGGCTTAGTAGGTGGTAGAAGTGGTGACTGATGCTACATTTTTTGAATGGAAAATTATATTTAAAACACCAAATAACCATTGATTAAAATAACAAAAGTTTATTTTATTTAGAGGAAGACCATTTAGAGAAACCTGCTTCAGTGCTTCAGATTTTCTTCTATTTTGCAGAAAGTTTACTTTGCAGGTTCTTTTTTTAAAGATTTATTTATTTATGCATACAAGAGCTGGGGTACAGGCCAGAGGTGTACCAGAGACAGAGCAGGGCACAGAACAGGCAGATTGACCAAAGTACACTGCTGACGGTAGCAGCAGGTGAGACAGGAGAGGACCGCTGCACCATGTGGGTTGTTCCCTGGCTGGCTGGGGGATTGAACTCATGCTGCAGAGGCTGCGGACAGCCTCATAGGCTGCGTGTTAACCCCTGTTTCTAAGAGGTCATGGTACTATTTTCTACTTTCAAAAAGAAAAAATATTTTATTTTTAGAAATCAAGTCACTAGTACAAATTTATACAAAAATACAATCCTCAGATATGTCCTGCAATTGGTTCAGATTCAGCAATTATAACTCTGATCCTTTTCCTTTAAGATGGATTTATATGACAATCTCTATATATTCACTGTAAGTCTTAAACAGTAAAAAATTCTAAAAAGAAAATAAAATGGGCTAAAATAATATTTGAACATAATGTGTTCATATCAGTTTTTCAATGTGATTGGAAATGTGATTGTAAATATAATGGGAAGTTTACTGCATAGTTGGTTGCCGACTACTTCCCCCTCTTCCATTAACAACACCAACCCCACTTTCTACCTCAGAGACTTTGTAATTGTTGACTTTGTCTAGACAATGCCCTGGTTTTATTTCTGTGTGCCAGGAATATTTCTTTTCATTTAATTTGCTTACTTGGTCATTGCCTATCTCCCCGCATAAGACTGTAATTCTATAAGAACAGGAAACTCTTCTGTCTTTTCTACTACTGCATCCCAGTGTAGATGGCTCCCAGTAGTTGAGAGTGTGCCAAAAGGGGCATTTCAAAGGGGAAGATCACATTCAGTTATTAGCTGTAAACTGATTGGAATTCAGATGTTTAGACAGCACCTGGGAGCATGTGTATTGCACATAATAAATAAAAATTAGCAGAGTAGAAAATAACTATGGGAAACAAAGAAAACAAAAATCTATAGTATTATCATAAAATTTGCAGGGATCCTCAATTCTGTCCTCTGAGGAATGGTTATTTTCTTTAAGGATTTTGTTGTCAGGGGAGAAAAAGATACTTGTATGACTTTTGTAACCTTGTCAGATTAACAGTTGTTAAGTATAATCCAGTTTCAGCCATGGTTCAGCAAAAGGCCACAAAGGAATTGAAACAGAGAAGTCCATATCCACAGGTCCCAGAGGAGGTACACAGTATGCCTTAAGGGCCTCATCCGAGGAGGGATGCCAAGCTATGGTACAGACGAGAACAGG